TCAGTGAGATTCACCGGTTTACGCTTGATGGACAATTTGCGCGGGCCAGGTTGAGTCCTCACAGAGGCAGAAACTTCATTACTGACGTTAATCTGATTGGTTGATGTGGAAGGGGAAGTGAGTGTCACAGGCATTTGAGGGATTAGAAGAGTTCTTCGAACTATTTGTCTCCTAGTCGGTACCTCCGGAGCTGATTCTGCCGCATTACCAACATTCTTCTTACTTTTGGATGAGGAACGGAACAAACTTCCTTTCGACTTATCAGAGGTCGAAGGCTTTCTCTGAACAGCAGTGGAATCTTTTCTGCCGAGAGACGCTACTTGCGGTGTCGGAGACGTTTGTGATCTAGTCGTACTTGTCGGCGCGGTAGATTGTATCGATCGAGATGAAGTACTTGTACCCGAACGATTGAGCATACCTTTTTGAGCGAGCATTTCACTGAGTTGTTGATCATTCAATCCTAACGCTTTACCAGCTTCGATGAATTTGATCATGGCAGATTCGTTCGATTCGTCCGAGGGCGTAGGTTGATGTGGTTGAGCTCGTGGAGTTTCTCGACCACTCGACTCCACATCAACTGTCTTTACAGGTCTATCTTGTGATAGCTCCGACTTCGGGATCTCTCCATGGGATGCAGTGCGTCCGTGTCGAAGTTTGTCCATCATCCCTTTGAGACCCGGTTGGGCGGATTGAGGGGGGGAAGGAACAGACACAAACGTCTGTTGTCGGGTAGGATCCGCCGATGCAGGAGGGAAACGGAAAGCATTCAGATCAGGTGATGCACCAGTATGTTCACGTGAACGAAGATCGATAGGCCCTGCAAGATGGACAGGTTTAGGTTTTGGTTTTTCGTTAGACGTTGATCTCCCTTTAGCTTCTTCATCATTCGACGTTGAGGGTCCTCGTTTGAATCCCAACTTTTTCCATCGGAGACTCATTTTACTGGCTGAACCACTCGCTTTCTCTAGTGCACCAGCGACTTGCGGATTAGGTCGATCTGGAGGTGTGATAGGAGATGCAGGTGCTTGGTAAGATGAAGAAACGAGTTTTGGATTTGAGATGGCAAACTTGTCTCCTCTTTTCGTTGTTTTCCGTTCCAACCTTCCAGCTTTACCTGAAGGTGTTCGATGTAATTCGGTGGTCGCTTGATGTAACTCAGCGGTAGCCTTGGCCAGTCGTGCTTCAAAGTCCCTGACGACCTCTGGATTGGTGTGAAGAGGTGGTCTGTCTTGGTTGGACTTGCCCGATGATGCGCTCCGACTCAGTAGAGGTGTTGGAGGCATGGTCGGCTCTTGTTGTCGGAAGGAAGTGTTCCGTGACACGACTAGAGGCTGTGCTGGGCGAGGGTGAGTCAGGGCATCTGATCGGTCCGCCGATGGTGGGGGAGTAAAGATGTCACCTGAGATGATGGGAGAAGTGGAGACTGTGGGAACGGTGGGAAGGGACGAGCTGCCTGAAGGAGGAGGGCTCGCAGACCGCCATGCAGAAGGAGGACTAACAGGTCGATGGGTGGGAGAAGCAGAACGAGGAGAAGGTAGCATTCCCTTGGAGAAGGTAGCATGGCCTTGTAGAATGGGTGTGAACTGAAAGCATCAGTAATGGTCAAAATGAATGAAGATAGCCGAGTGAGCAATGTAAGGCAAGACTCACCAAACCAATGGCCATAGAATCATCGGCATCCCTAAGCGCTTGACGCTCCTGATTTGCGATTGCCACCAACTTCTCCTGCATCATTACCAACTCCTCTTTCCCAACTCCACTGATCAACCGTAGCACCTCGTCACCCATCACACCTTCATCAGGAGTCCGGGGTAGCTCCTCATCACGATAACTGGCAGTAAAGCCAAAGGTATCCTCCCAAAAGACATCGTCGGACCATGGCTCTATGTAGCTGGAGCTAATCGAGCTGCTAGACTCCACCTTTCGAAGTGTCGACGGAGAACGGGTTCTCGACGTACTGGGAGAAGTATAACCAATAATACCTTCTTCCGAGCCGGCGCGAGGATATCTCATATTTGGCGGCAAGGGCTGTGAAGAGGGAACAGACTCCTGTAGAACATCCTCAATACTACGCCGGCCTCGAGTCACCTGGGTCTCGGGCGCAGCCTCGCGAGAAGCGAAAACCTCGTGTTCTCGGTCGTCAACCGAGACATTATCGGTGCCTCGCTCGTCGGCTTGTTCGTCGCACTCCTCAATGACCTCCGAAGTGTGGGGCATGATGGCCAACGGCGAAGGTCCGCGAGACACAACAGATTCACCCACGCTGACGAAGCGTGATCCATGGGAATAGTCAATGTCACCACGTGCTGATGCGGCTTGCATAGAGGTGGAAGGAGCATGATTGGTAGACCTAGATCGACCCAAAGAAGTTGTTGGAGGTACGACATGAGGCTTGCCCGGTGCTGCAGGTGTTGAATCCGATCTTGCACGACCACCAGAAGAGGTATTGGTGGATTGCGGGGAGTTTTGACTATTCGAAGATTGTTGCGGAGTGGGAGCTCTGGTAGACGTTGAGCCCTCTGACTGATGCAAAGATCGAACTGGACGTGGCTGTCCGGGAATGTAGACGGGTACGGCTGGGCTGGATGATTGAGTTGATACGGATGACAAAGAGGGAGTGTGTCGGACAGGCAGAGTACGGACTGGTGTTAAGACAGGTTGAGGAATAACAGGAGCTGCAATGGAGGATGTGACATGCGCTGCCAAGTTGTGGCTACGAGGGGAGGGTGGAAGCTGAGAGCGACCTGAGCCTGCACTTCTCGCGGACGATGTCGACTCTTGCCTTGAATGACCATTGACCTGTGGAAGCTTTGATACCGGAGGAGCGAGAAGCTCTTCCAGGTCCTGATCTACTCCCTCTTCACCGATGTGGGTTGGCAGATGCTTGGGTGGGACACTACCATGTCGTTGCAGACTATCACCAGCTTCCAGGAGCGCCATGGATATCCGTTTCATCTGAGCTGGACTGAATCCATGCAAAAGTGACTGTCGCTGTCCTCGTTTAGGTTTGAGGACTACATGTGACGCTTCACCGGGGGTAGGGGGTAGTTCCGCAGTTGGAAACGGTGAATTCGAATGACCGGAAGTTGAAGAGTGTGAAGATTCTGGATCTTTAGGACCTCGACGACTTGAGGTGACTTGAATGGCGGAGAAAGGAGTGGGGGTGGCGGTCCTATCTGTATGTTCCGATTCTGACGGACTGGCAGCACGTATACCCTGCTGTCGACCATTGTTCCAATACGCATTGGCTTTATCGGGTGAGATATTAGGTAATGGTACAGGTTTTCTGGTGGGTGTCTCTTTATCCTCTTCAGATCGTACGCTTCTCTTACTTGACACAGATCCGCTCAAATCCTTCTGTTTTCTACTCGCAGTTTTATTCGTTCTCCGGATATAATCGTCGTCTTTAAGACTTTGACTTCCAAAGCCATGAGACTTGACCTTTGGACGGTACTCTTCGCCGCCGACACCGAAAGTTTGAAAGGATGAGAATGAAGTGGAGGTGGGAGGTGGTGAGATCGTGTTCAGGTTATTCGAAGGTATGACAGGTGCGGAAGCGGGAGAAGTGGGAGAGGTTGTATAAGTCACATGAGATGAAGTAGAATTGAAAGATGTGATATTGCCTTTATGTCCATTGAAAGGTCTTCCACCAAAAGTCGTAGTAGTTGATAGACCTAAAGTGGGCGAAACACCATCCCAATTTCTATACACCTCAAAATCCTCTGGGTTGACGGAAGCATCTCTAATTTCCGCCAATACCAATTCTTCTTCTGCTTCAGTGATGGAGGGCCCCTCATGACGGGCGCGTTGTTGAGCGAAAATGTCCCTGATGGTAGGTTCAGGTGCTGCGGACAAGGAAGGAAGAAGGACTGAGAAACGTTGACTTAAACTATTCGAGCATGTCAGCGAAACCTCTTTCTCAACCATCATATTTTGACTGAGGACAAAAGATATGTTGGATGCTCACCTTTGTAAAAGCAATGAACTTCTAAAATCCATATCTAGAGTTGGGGCGGCATCGCTGATCCTAGGCCAAGTGAAATCCAAATGATCATATTCCATCTTACTTCTCTCTGGTTGTTTCCTCAACTTTGCTCCACCTCGTTCGTCTCTACCACCCTGATCTCTTCCGGATCGATTCGTTATCTGAGCTTGAGGGATGAGATTTTGGGAAGAAGGCGATTTGTCGATTGGATGACCGTGTCCGAGGTTTTCAGCATTGGAAACGGCTCTTTTCCTATCAAATGGCATCAGCGCTTTTCACGGCATCGGGAGAAGAGTGAGAGTTCGAATTGGGGCTCACCTGAAGAAACGGTCCATGAGTGCGAGTGTGAGTGTGGATGTGGATGTGGATGTGCTTCCGACAAGCGGCACATGGGATGGTGAGAAGAATGTCCAAGTGGGCCTAAGGCTGTGCTAGCGGTTAGCGGGAGTAGATGCCGAGAATGTGAGTGGGCTACGAGGTAGATTACCGGGATGTCGAGAGGAGAAGATTGAAGAGTAGTATGTAAGACCGAGTATCAAGGAGAAGGGATGACGCTATCAAGGTGAAAAAATGTAAAAGTGGCAGATGGGGAGGGGGTATGATGGCAGATGGGGAACGGGGAACGGGGGTGGACGTTTAAAGGGCGTACGCTCAGTATACCTTGTTGTTTTAACCAAACCGGGGTCCTTTGGCTCACTTCCTTCCAATCTCACTGTGGATGACCGTTCCCGTCTGCCGTATACTATGTCGCAGGATCGCAGTGCCGCTCGTACTCACTCTGTCAAAGCATGGATTGAAAAAGGATGTGTGAGTGGAATGTTGACACTACTATGGTCACGTCGAATCTTGCACCGCGGTAGAAGTAGCTTTCGCCCGTGCCTGGGACACGGCTATGGACGAGCCACGTGGTTCAAGGTATTCCACTGAGCCATGACTGCACATTCGTACCATGTAGATTGACACGAGCAAGTGGATTGCATACAGGACACAAGACAAACAGACAAACAGTCAACGTTCAAGCAATGAATAGAAGATTCGTGTCAATTGCTTCTCGTCAGCTGAACCCTCACTCGCAACCTCTGTCCACTCACGATGACTCGCCGATAATTGCGGCTTTTGATCGTATCGTCCTCGCAGCTCATCTCGGATCGAATTCAACAACTGGAGATAGCTCTGCTGCGGCACTTTAGTAAGAGCGGCTATGAATGCCTAAATAACATCAGCCGAATCCAGCAAGGTCAAAACTGACACATACGAAAGACATGGCTCCCGTAGCCTTCCCGGCTTCTTGAGTATCTGCACTCTGTCCTCGTCAGCGTAGGGACTGGGTACAAAGAAGAGAGACAGACGGTTTGCGAGTCTTTGCAGCCCGACCACATTATTACGTCAGCGGGGGAGGTGCGAGTTTGCTTGGTCTTATCTGCCGCCCCAGAGTTGTTGCTCAAAACGGTCTTGCCGATCCTACCTGGTCAATTCAAGGATCAAAAAGAGTACAATACTTACCCCATGAGACCTTTGAGCAGTGCACCACTGTCTCCCCTTGTTATCAGCGACACTCAACAGAACGAAAATGAATGAATCACCTCAAGTAATTCACAGAAGCGCTGAGTAGACCTTGACCAGCTTCCGCGAGAAGATTTGGTTCTTTGATCTTCCCTTCGGTCGAATAGATGTATGGTAAATCGAGACACGATCCAGAATGACAAGAATCAAAGATAGCCGTAAGTCGACAACCGGCTGGCAGTGGTCGTACCATCAAAGCGTGTCTCTGGATCAGTCACGCTCTGCGTCACAGCAAATTCCGACTTACACTACGACCATCAGCCAAGAGTCTTGAGAAATGGAGGAAAGGGCTTACATTCATCATCAACGATCTGTCCGGATTGCTTGTAATCAAGCGGGTAGATTACCTCGTCGTATCCATCATCTTCGTCCCCATCCAGGTCTTTGGTTTGCCCTCCATGTCCTGAGCTATGAAAGTCAGTCTCACCTCATGACAGGAAAGAGAGTATACTTACTAGTGAAAGAATAGGGCATCGTTTGGTTGAGCGCCATTGACCAACCATTGCATCGCTTGAATCATGTTGGCTCTCGTAGGGATCTGACGTGGATTGGCAGCATCGTCCGTCAACATGACAATGTCATCAGCTTTGTATCCGAAATTCTCTGAGCGTCAGAGTCAAAATTCATTTTTATCTTCGATGAAAATCACACTCACGCATGATGAATCTTTGCACGTTTCTAGCATCATTGATGCAGCCCCGTAGTTCCTGACTGGTCCCAATATAGTTTATGCCGATCTGTCCGTCAGCATCATCTCTGATGGGAGACGAATGGGATCATCTCACGCAAAGAGCTTTCCTCCTACCTGTACACTGGGAGTATTGGAAGTAAGGTTGGTATTGCTGGCCACCCTGACCTTGCATCTGAGGTCCATAATGTTGCATCTGGGTCGGAGGTCGACCTGTATTTGGGTCAGAATTAGACCAATAGCACATTGTCACCTAGGGGTAGATGATAAGAATCGACGGGATTACTCACCAGGGACAGCGCCGTAAGATGAGTATGCTCTTGCATCGTTGTTAGGAGGCATGTAGCCCGCACCAGTCTGGTGATAGTGAGAAGGTGGCTGTTGGCCAGTTGGAGGCATGTATCCGCCCTGTTGATAACCTCCTGACTGATACTGAGGTAGAGGCGGTGGCGGTGGACCTTGTTGATATTGAGGAGCATAGCTGGAGGTCAGCGTTACTTCACAATCGCATCGCGACCCTCTGTAAAGTAGAGCGGAGAGGGGACGATGAACGATGACAGGAATAAAGACTGACCCATAAGGTTGAGGTGGTGCTGGACTACCGGCCCAAGGAGGCGGAGGCGGACCACCGTTGTGATGATGATGAGGTGGGTGTTGGTGGTGACCTTGACCTGGATATTCGTTCCACGACATTGTGCTAGAGATACAAAGTGGGTGATGGGACGAGTGATAGGGATGGGGTGGGTATATGTAGGAGATCGAGGATCGAGGAGCTGTGCTCAAGGGAGACAGACGCGCAGCTGACATGGAGACGCCGTACGCCGCACGCCGTACGCCGGATTGACCGACGATTTCTTTACCGAATCACCGAGACTAGTGACGTAGCATCCATGCATATATCAATTGGTTCCAGAAATAAACAGTAAGCTTGGGTATCAATGCTGGGTACACAATTGAAGTCCTCGTAATCATCATCGCCTCTTCGTCACCACCCCACCCCTCGGCTTCTATCGAACTTCGATGACTCTGATCGATCGGTCTTTTTCTAGAGCTTTATCGACGGTGGCGACCATTTGACGAACCTGGTCCACTCCTACTCGAATAACCCCCATCATCTCATTGGCTGCCAAAGCAGAACCTCCAGCTTTGGACAACACGCAAATTTCACGTTGAGCATTAAGGGTGATAGACAAGGTACCGGTACATAGACATTCTTCCAGATGTGTTGGGTCGAGGATAGGGGGTAAACTGAGGTCATTAGTAGTATTCCTACAAACATCAAAACATAGCACTCACTTTTCAAAGTAAGCAAAGGTCACACATAGCGGAACATGATGCATTGATAAAGGGACAGGAGCTCTTTCCTCTGGCGAGTGCTATAATTGTCAACTACGTCATTCAACAAAGTAGACAAGTAGAAAGAACGCACAATTATCACCTCATCGCCTATGACTTCAATCTCAGGTTTTCGAAAATGTCTCAAAGCTGCCATGGAGGCCAGTGAAGCACAGTCTAGAAGGTTCCCAGAGTCGGATAAGAAATGTAATGTCAGACGAAGCTGCCAGACTTTGTCACCTGCGATGATACATAAAGCTTCTCGGTCGACGGCTTCTGTTCGCCGTATGCTTTTCTCCAGCATGCGAGTGATTATCAATTCGTCCTCCGAGGATCTACTCGTCAGCATCAATTCAAAGTGTCGTATGATACTAGCTGATAAGAAATGGGAAGGGATTCACCTGCCGTTCTCGTACGCCGTAGAAGCCATAGGGCTGATTTCCGAGTTGATCAGGAGGGAGCCTTCGTATGGTCTATCATCTCGAGGCTTGACGATTGTCGCAGTGACTTGTGCGAGTACTCTGATGGTCAATCAGCTATGTGTCTCTAGGAGGGCACTTCGCGGCTGAACTCACGCAGTCTTGCCTAGACGACACTGACAACATCCAAGCTCTGCTCCGAATTCCAGCTCTATCTCTCTCATTTCTAGTGGTAGCCTACCGTCGAGTCGCTTCCCCTCTGACAATGCCTTGAGGACAAAGTCTCTCTGTATCGTGGGTGGGTCGATATCTCGCGGCATGACGGTTTATACCATTGAACGTGAAGAACTGTCCGAGCAGGTTTCAGACTTTTTGGCTATGCCGACGGAAGTAAATTTGGAAAGAGCGGCGATGACCGCCCGACAATTAAAGTGGTTTCCGACCTTCTTTTGACAGCCTAACCCCCCATCACACCTCAAAGGGATCAAGACGAGGACCATTACTATCGTTCGGACTACCTCTGTAATTCCTGCCGGCTGAGTCGTACTGGAACCGCTGGTCACGCAAAACCTGTCAAGCTGTCTCGTCACTCTCGGCGGCAACGGCTGCCACCTTGGCAACATGCCCACTGACCCCTCCCTTCCTCATGTCCACGGACAGACCGCTCACAAGCTCAAAGGGAAGAAGTTATTATACAGCGTCTCAGTATTTTTGAGTATAGGTGTTTGGCTTTTTGGGTGAGCCAGTATCCCGCTTAGCGTCTCAGTAGCTACTGCTGACCGTAACTAGATATGACCAAGGGTATGTTACGCTTGGTAGAAGCATAGACGCGTAGCTAACCCTTGTCCTATCACAGCGTCATGTCTGGTGAGTCTTTATACTTGCGTGCTCAACCGTAACTGTACTGACATCTGTCAGGAGTCATCACAGGGCCGTACTTCAAGTGAGTAGTCTCTACGTTCCTTGGGGCGCAGCTGATATATCCCCTTACCTTTTTAGAGCATACTGTGAGCTCTGTTCCCATCCATCTGACACAAAGACTTACCCATAGTCAATCAGCCTACATCTACCGAGATAGGCAAGTGAGTCCAATCTTCTTCTGCAGCATGACGTCGCTGAGACTTGCAGCATGGTTGCCGTGCTGGAAATAGGCGCATTCAGTGAGCTGGCGTGTCCTCCTGGAGACCTAGCTGACTTAACAGTCACCTCCCTGCTCGCCGCCCCTTTGGCAGACAACTATGGTCGTCGTATAACTCTTCGCGCAGGAGCGTTCGTCTTCACTATTGGTGGAGCGATCCAAACTTTCTGCACGAGCTATAGCACCATGATCGTTGGTCGAATAACGAGTGGTTTTGGGGTAGGAATGTTGAGTATGGTTGTACCGATATATCAGGTGAATACTCTGCTCTAGTCGAGGAAAACCTGCTGACACGTACAGTCTGAGATATCACCGGCCGATCATGTGAGTATCTGCTCTGGTAAAGGTTAGTATCTAACATCGGGATAGAGAGGTCTGCTTGGTTCAGTCGAGTTCACCGGTAATGTCGTCGGTTATGCTTCTTCGGTCTGGATCGACTACGCCAGCTCTTACATCCAATCCGACTGGTCTTGGCGGTTGCCTCTGAGTGTTCAATGCATCGGAGGTGCTATCCTCGCTATTGGCAGTTTCGTCACTCCAGAATCACCTCGGTCAGTGTTGCTCTTCCGCGGCTGAAGACCACAAAAGCTGAGAAGGCCAGGTATTTGATTGATACGGATCAAGAAGTAGAGGGTTTGGCGGTCATTGCGGACTTTCAGGGTAATGCTCTGGACGATGAGAGGGTAGTGGCGGAGTACAAGGAAATCCGAGATGCGGTGTTGGCCGATGTAAGCTGTCCCCAGAACCTTGCATGTACATCTGGCTGATATTACTAGCGCGCAGTAGGTGACAGGTCTTATGGAGCTTTATGGAGGAGGTATAAAGGTCGGGTTCTGATCGCCATGAGCAGTCAAATGTTTGCGCAACTGGTGAGTCGGCTGCTCCGAAATACCGAGGTGAGAAGCTGATGGGATCAGAACGGTATCAATGGTAGGCTCATCCTTAGCGAGAGTGAAATACAGCTGATACTCCACGTAGTGATATCATACTATGCTCGTGAGTGGACGACTTATGTTGAGGACCTCAAGCTGATGTCCGCCTAGCACTTGTATTTGAGCGTCAGTCAAGCTTGATTGCCCTTTACCTGAAGCTGACGATTCAGAGGCAGGATGGATTGGACGTGATGCTATCCTCATGACTGGAATCAATAGTTTATTCTATGTTCTAAGCACCCTCTTGCCGTACGTCACTTTCTCGTTCTCTTGAGCCTCTCCACTGACATTGCAGTTGGTTTCTGATGGACCGCGCAGGTCGAAGACCCATCCTTCTCACTGGTGCACTCGCCATGGCTGTCGCCCTGACTGCGACCGGCTGGTGGATCTATATAGATCAAGCTATCACACCCAACGCCGTGGTCGTTTGTGTTATTATATATAACGCTGTGTTTGGGACAAGTTGGGGTCCTGTCCCATGGCACGTTTCTAACTAAATTCTGGTATTCAGCTGACAAAGAAACAGGCTTTACCCTCCCGAGATCATGCCTCTCGCATTCCGGGCCAAAGGTGTTTCTCTATCCACCGCTACGGTGAGTGATCAGTGCAGTGATGAGATTATGCTAACATGAATAGAATTGGCTCTTTGTGGGTTTATGCATCATTGAGCAGAAGATACAGCTGACCTCAGAACTACTGGGTCGGGGTGACTACCCCATTGTTTCAGGAGTTGATAGGGTGGAGGTTGTATCCCATGCACGCATTCTTCTGTGCTGTTTCCTTCGTACTTGGTAAGTTTTTTCTACATCTCAGGGATCTCTGCTGATGTACAGTATACTTCCGTTAGTCAACTCTCTACCCATGCGCAAATGTCTGACCCGCAGTGTATCCCGAGACTCGGGGCGTGCCTCTGGAGGAGATGGACAAACTCTTCGGCGATGGTGCGTGGATGATCTTCTGACTGGCGATACGCTAACAGTGAAGAAATTGTAGAAGACGAAGACGATGGTGAAGATGGTTCGGACGACGATCGAATCGACGATCTCAACGATGACAACTCCCTAGGATCCGAAAGCTCATCATTGGTTGGAAGTCGACGTTCTCGTACTCTGAATTCTTCACTTCCCACTTCCCGCAAACCTTCGCCTTTGCCATATCATCGAGGGGATGTCGAGCCGAGTTCAGGTCTGTTCAGTCGACTGAGTAACGCTATGGGTGGTTTATTAGGAGGTCCTCGGCGTAGATCTCCTAGAGGGAATTATAATCCTCTCAATGGGGAACAATAGGAACTCGCGAGTGAGTAGTAGAGTACCTGCTCATGATAAATCATCCTCTGAACCACACCACACCACACCTACCCCTACCTCATTCTATGCATCCGCAAGATGCCTCTTTAACACAAAGCATTGGTTCTCGAGGTGTAAATGATGGGTGTGGAAGCACTAGGTACTGAACATTGAAAAGACAGATTAATGATATAGGACTCGGACCAAATATCGAACGTACAAGCCAGGTGGATGTGGAAGCAGCTAGGGAATACGACATTGACTCGTTGTCTTCACAAAACGACCCGAATCACGACTATGACGAATGGACTAGACCTAGGGATGATCTTGCTTCAAGGTCACTTTCAAGATTAGACTATCATAACGAGGACTAGTTTCTTCGGTCTCTGGTCTCTGGTCTTGAGATGGATGGATGGGAAGATGGGGTTTTTGTACGTGTCATCTTAAGATCCTTGACCGAGTCTCAAAGTTTTCATTGAATCAACCTAAAATGTAGCATATAGACATTTTATCCCATTGCTACTTTTCTGCATGTCATTGATCATTGAACTTTTTCACATCCTCCCCGATTCTCCTGCCTCAGCTATAATGGTAATCTCGAAGTAGTATTTTCTCGACTGACTAAAAATACGAAAGAGGTAAGTCTGTAAAGAATGACGAAATCAGTCTAACCACTTTCACCCGCTATTTGACAATACAGCTGATAGACGTTACTTTATCCGTTCAAGACTGTACCCTACTTGACCATGTCCTGCATTACTCTAGACCAAACCAGTGGCCAGCGGATCAGCCGTCAATGGTAAGTGGAGTTCGGGTCTGGGTTCGGGTTCGGGTTTGAAAATGAATTTCATAATGCCATAATCCCGTTTTCTTTTCATCTTATCTCATTTTCACCCGATTATAGCATCATGCCTGAAGAATCGTACCACCGGGAACCCATCGACTCGTCTTTTTGAGTTCAAGTGAAAACTACAGTAGATACACCCTCTTAGACAGAGCAAAGTGGACCAATTGTATGGTGGGATCGCTGGATCGTTGGAATGTCGACTAGTGATTGATAGTATCACTATCGAGAGATCTCCCAGAGATTTCATCATATTTATATAAAGCATAGGAAGTCCTTGTGCCCATATATCACTCGTCAACCAGCAATCTTCTCCGTCACAGTTGAAGGCAGATTTGTCAATATTTCATTTTGGTATTGAAGATGAACGACTTACAGCCGACTGCTTCAGAACCTGTGCCGGTCAATGTGAGTTAATTTCATCTTTCTTTTTTCGTCAACTGTCGAGGCGAATACTGTTCGTGAGGAAGGGGACACGATAGGGGACAGAGAACAAGGGAGGAGGAAGGGGGAGAGTGAGAGAGAGGAGGAAGGGGGGAGAGTGAGAGAGAGAAGAAATGGGATAATCCAAGGGAGATGGAATAGACCACTCACTCAACAGATTGGAAGACATATAATGTTCGCCGGAGTAACATTCACAATCTTCTGTTGTTTAGTCGTACTTGCCTCTGCTGCTTGGGTATACACGACACCAGCTAGGAAATGTCTAGATAGGGTTTCGTTTCGACTATTTTTATGGATGATGGGAGCGGAGATTATACGTGCTACCCTTCTCATCATTTTCTTTGGGCCGATGAGTGAGGTGAGTCTAGATCGTTCGAATTTTCCTTTTCTTTTTCCTTCTCTGCAAATATAATTCACAAATCCGCAGTCATCGCCCCTGGTGGAGGTCGGGTTTCATTGGTGACGCATTGTCGATGAAAAAAGGAAGGATTTTTGAAAAACGGAAACAAGTACTCATCGATAGGAACGAACGAGAATAGCCAAAAGTCCCGCATGTGGTTTTGGTGGTTGGTTATTCATGTCTTCTCGTCTCTTGTGAGTCACTCAACATATGTGAACCCTCACGAAGATCTGACAAATAGCTGTAATTGGATCTGTTGTTGTATCGGATTGAACCTCTGTTTGACGGTCGTTTTTCAAATAAATCCTGTGCGTTATCGTGAGTATTTCCTGTTTCGAAATGATCCAATCCCACAGACATCAAGACGCTGAGTGCCATAGGCGTGGAAAGGTGGTACATCCTCGGATCATTCGTCTTGAGTTTAGGAGTTCCCGTAGTGCCTGCTATATTGGGCCATTTCGGTTATGACCCTTACGTCCAAGCATGTTATTTCGCCATTGGTCAGTACTCTTTCCCACCCTCTTTCTTGCATAGTACAAGAGCTGATTGATCAGTTGAAAGAGGCCCTCGGTTCCGCGCTATGGTACTTGACTTGGTTCGTATTCCTACCCATCGAGGAAACACCGTTTGACGATACAGCACGCTTGGCAATGTTTAGCATCAATCATTTCCACCGTATGCGTTGGATGGGTAAGTTCTTCATGTCGCTCAGAAACGAAGATTTTTGACCAACAGTCGCTTGTCACCATATTCCGTCACGGTCGTGCAACCTCTCAAGCCTTATCCGCAGGTAACATCCTTAATCGTAAACTCGTTCGGCCCAGTAGATTCCGACGAAACTCAGCTCCTATTCCTATCCCATCACCTCCAGATAGTCCGGCTCAAAGTAAAAGACGAAGTATACTGTCTCTCGTTCCCAGCATCAGAACCGCAGAACCGACAGAGATGGCAGTGCGACCAGGAGGTGGGGTATTGCTAGGTGATCGATTTAGCTCCATCGCCCTTCGAGTGTCATTGTATCCCCTCGCGTTGATTTTCGTAAATTTCTGGGTAGTTTGTGAGTCCTTTTGGCTCTATTGAAGAAGTTTATAGTTGACACACTAGTTGGGGATGTGTATTTGTACGCGCTTGGATTCGACAAGGATGGAGGTTTCGCCATGTACATTGCATTTTGTGTAGTGTTCACTTCTGAAGGAGGATTGTTTGCATTGGTAAGTCAACCTGCTCCCTTCAGGAAATGTTGCTGACGGACAGATCGGATTACTGGTGGATCCTTGTTTGAGGAATGTGAGTAAATTTTTACACGGTGTTATCTGAACTGACGATAAGGGGGTCAAAGAGGCATGGAAGAATAGAAAGAGAGAAACAGACTGTGAGAGTGCACCGGTGAGTGTGATTGAGTACAGGGTCAGAGTTATGAGAAAGAGCTGATAAAAAGACACACGAGGGAGCGACGCAAATCATGAGCTTTCAAGAAATGATGGGTAGACCGACGTTGGGTAAAGTGGACAGGACAGATACTTTGGAGGGGAAAGAAATGTTGATGGTCATTGCTGAAACGGACGAGATAGTGTCTTTGGAAGAAGCATTGGCAGTTGTTCCGTCGTGTGGACGAGGTGAGGTAGTGTTGGAGGATGAGGCCGAAGTGAGGTTATGAAGAGGGGCATAGTTTTTACGATCTACGAGTGGTTTTAGTCTTAGATGCAATCGGGTCACGTGACTGACGCGTCGAGGCGATGCCATGGCGTTTCAGGTTTTGCATCATATAAGAAAAGGGGGGGGGCAATAAGGTGCAGGTGCACGGGCCACGGCTGCGACCGATTGGGGGGACAAAAGCACCTTTGCACCACCATGCATTAGATTCACTACTATTATGTCCCATGACAGATCATAGTAATATCATCTCTTCACCTGCTCTGCTATATATCGCTCGACTATCGCTACTACTGCTACACACATATAAGGCTGGTCCCGACCCGCGACTCGGCTCTCCCAGGTGGATCCATCTCACCAATCTAGCCCAGCGCTACCCCCAATCTCCTTAGCTCCCCCTTGTGACATCATCTCAAATTTCAATTTTTGCACCTTTTCATCTCTTCATCTCCCTATCCTAATCATCTCTTCCACCAACACTACATCACTTCATCTCTCACCATGTCACAAACTTTCGACGGTGCAGCTTTCTCCTCCCTCGTCGCCAATCAACAGAACTCCCTCTCAAGGGTCTCTGTAAAAGCCGTGGGATCTCAGGTGGCCCTTATGTCCGGTATCTCTGTATGTCTCGTCCCTTCCACTCCGGACAATGTGCTGACACTGACACCACAGATCGCTACCGTCATAGCCTTCTCCTTTTTCAGACCTAGAGAGAAGAAGGTTTATGCTCCAAAGGTTCGTTCACCTCATACCTCTCCAGTCACAACACGCTGATACTCAGGTCAAATATCAACTCCCTAGACCTGCCGATCCACTAGATGACCCCGACTATGAACCACCTCCTCCCACTATCTCCAATGGCTTCTTCGCCTGGTTCAGTCCCGTCATTCACCTCAAAGAGGAACAGATGATAGCCAACATCGGTACGCTCTTTACACATCTGATGCCTTCGGTCGCTGACCACATTAGGACTTGACGCTGCGACTTTTTTACGTTTCCTTAGATTACTACGCAACGCTTTCACCGTCATTTCTGTCCTTTCAGCTGGTCTATTGGTCGTGAACGTTATCTACAATGTCAAATATATCGACAGCGACAAACGGAACGCTCTCAGTCTCCTCACCATCCAAAATGTCTCCGGAGCTTGGATGTGGCCAGCTCTGGGAGTCAGTTACATCATCAATTTCGTTATCATGTACTTTATCTGGCGTAATTGGCAAACAATGGTCATGCTTCGAAATCGATGGTTTCGTTCTCCAGCCTATCAATCGAAAATCTATTCGAGAACACTCATGGTCACTCGTATTCGTAAAGACTATAGAACAGATGAAGGTTTATTGGCTCTCATGGGATTGCTCAAAGTGGATGGTATCAAGATCGGGCCCGAAATTGACTGTACAACCATCGGTCGACGACTGGATGACTTCCCGGAAATGGTCGAGGAACACAACGAGTCAGTGGCCGAGTTGGAAGCTCATTTGGTCAAGTATTTGAAAGGAGGTCGAGTTGCCAATAAAAGGCCAATCATCACCAAGGGTGGTTTCCTTGGTTTTGGAGGAGAAAAGAGGGTGAGTTTGGTCATCTCATGGTGGTTTCATTCTGACGTACGCAGGACGCCATCGACTACCTCGCAAAACAAATCAAATTTCTGCGCGATAGAATCGATGCCAAACGGAAAGCCGTAGAGTCCCTCATTCGCCGAGAACGCAAAGCTAGGAAAGGTGGAGCACCTCTGCAAAGAGTGGAAGGAGAGAACTATGGATTCGTCACTTTCAAAACTATCACAGAAGCCCATCGGATCGCTCGGGCTCATCGTGGCAAGCTCAAGGAGTTGTACGGTGCTTCGTTGCACCTGGCCCCTATGCCACACGACATTGTCTGGGCGAACATATCCCGCGAGCCGGCTGAAGTCAAGTCAAGGACATGGTTCGGATTCGTTATCATCGGCGTCGTGTGCTTTATCAATACCATTCCGCTGCTCGTGGTATCCACCTTGGCGAATCTGAGTAGTTTGGCATTGTACGTTGGCTTTTTGGAAAAGTGGAAGGATGCCGGTCAATGGGGAAACTGGACTTTCTCCATCGTGTCCGGTGTACTGCCCTCCGCTGTGTCTGCTCTCTTCGGCTATCTGCTTCCAATCATCATTCGTCGTATCAGCAAGTATCAGGGCGCTACAACATCCTCTCGACTAGACAGGGCCGTCACTGCTCGTTACTTTTTCTTCATGATTGTCTCAACACTCTTTGTCTTCTCCCTTCTTGGGGTTTTCTACAATGCCATCGCACAAGTGGTCCTACAGATCGGACAGCATCAATCGGCCTCGAAGGTACTTGAGGGCCTGAAGCAAATTCCCTACGGTCAGTAACCCATCCCCTTTCCCCTTATCCTTGACCCCAGGCTGACATACGCAGAAATCCAAGGGACGTACGTACAGCAAAGCACATGTGAGTCTGCTTTTAGTTACGCACACACTGCGGGAGCTAACGCCGTCATCAGATTGGATCACATGGCTTCCATTGCGTGGCTTTCTGGTCATATTCGAGTTGATCCAGCTCATCAAGTTGGCCATGGTCTCCCTCCGTCGTGTCATGTTCTCCCATACCCCAAGAGACATCCGCGAAATGACCAAGCCTGGCTACTTTGAATATCCTATTGGTAGGTTTACCTTCTGGGTCCTCATTTTCGGCGACTGACCCAGTAGTCGTTGTCAACTTGCTCTTCATAGCCACTGTCGGCCTCGTCTACGCCCCACTGGCACCGCTCGTTGCTATTGGTACCTGCTTGGTGTTCTGGTTCTCAAATGTGGTCGTGAGCCTCTTCTCGCGTTCCACTTGTCAAGGGTATGCACTGACACACCACAGTACAAGTACCAGTTGCTTTACGTGTATGTTTCTCGTGCGGAGAGTGGTGGTCGTCAGTGGAACGTCTACATCAACCGTCTTCTGGCTTGCTGCATCCTCATGCAACTGCTCATGGTTCTCAGTAAGTGACTTGAGTGCTCACTCCTTATATCTTGCTGACCAGACAGCAACAGGTCTCATTCGTAGGCGATGGCTCGACTGCTTGGCATCCGTTCCTCCGATTCTGATCATCATCGGTTTCAAGATTTACCTTGGCAAGACAGCTGAAAAGGCTTTTAGATATTACCTACCAACACCGCAGGAAGCTGAAAACGAAAGGAGACTCAGTTTGTCAGAGAAACGCACCAATCATTCTGAAATGGAGAAACGATTCCTTCATCCGGCTCTACAAGCGGACAAGTTGTTCACCATTATGGTGCACAAACAACAAGAAGAGTTAGCTCGAGAAGTACTCAGCGCTTACCCATGGTTCGCACCCAAACACAGTCACGATGGTGTCGTCATCAAAGCTGTACGTGAGGAGAATCTCGAGTATGACCCTCTACGTGATGGACCACGAGATGAAGCTCATCAAGCGGAAGATGATGCAAGATCTATCGCATCGACCGATTTGCTAGGAGGAAAGAGTGAATTCTCTTCTCGACTTCCCACCCCAAGTGCCGATGAGTTATATCGAAATTATCCTTTCCCGACACAGGACACTATTCCTTCTCCATACACTTCAACTGCAGTTTTACCTTTGGATAATAATCACTCGACAGATCAACTCATACCCAATGGTCGACCTGAGTTGTATCAAGCTCGACGTCAACCCAGTCGTCCCTATCCAGGTCATAAACCCACTCCTTCAGATCCAGATCATCAACTACCTTTATTGGAACATGCTCAACCTTACGAGCAAAACGTACCTTATCCTCCCATCGCTTATACTCAACCTCCTATCGGTTACACACCACCGACGATGAGACGTTCAGCCACTGGTAGCTCGCTGGATCATGCTGGTACTAGATGGGATGATGGACAGGATATGGGATATCCAATGGTTAGACAGGATAGTGTAGAGGAAGGACAAGAGGGTGGTGTGAATTATCATCATCAACAATCTAGACAAAATAGTCAAGGAGGTTATCAAGATCCGTATCATCCATATGGTGGACATAGATATGGAGATGAAAGATGGTGATGGAATCATACGAGTAGAGTTAGAGTATTCTGCTAGTAGTTTGAAAGCGCAGGTCGCAAAATTCTTATCTGGGTTTAGAATCTTGGTAGATGACAATTTTTGCATCATGATTATACTGAATACCTATTTTCCTTTCGATCTCGATTTTTTTTCCCCCTTCAAACGAATGTTTTCTCGCGCATCTTACTGAAGTTCTAATTCTTCCCAAACACAATGTTTCCGAAGTGGTATTTCGATTATCATCTTTTTTTAATCCAATGTCCTTGATTGTCCATGAATCCCCCCTGATACTCTTTGTTTGTTTGTTTTTTCCTTTTTTTCCTTTTTGAAAATGGAGACTATGCGGTAAGATCCGACACGTCAGATTCTGGGTGGATCACCTAAGGAAGAGTAACACGCCAAACGAGAGCTTGGTTATCTAGAGAATAACCATGTTCTACGCAATAAGGATCAGAGAAATCTCCAGTGACGTCATGTCCGTTTAAAGACATGAAATCGTTGTCTGACCAAGAGAAGAGGAAGTAATCGTTTGGATAATCTGGGTCTTCTACCGAGGCGAGAGCCTATGATGTTAGTGAGTGATCTTTAACATCCTTTTCTGCTTTCCTCAACTCCATCTTCCTCTCCACTCATCCCGTGATAGTCTAGTGTTGATCATCGGGATAGATTATGAGCGAGATTCATCATATCCACGGATTATCGGAGCACTGATGCACTGATACACTGGTATATCGAGATATTTGTTTACTGTGGGAAATGATAAAAAAGAGTGGGGGGAAACAAGATGGAATGTGTGGAAAAAGTGAAAATGTACTCACGATAGATTCCCATTTTGAATTTATAAGATTTACAGAGAAATCACAATTGTTACATAAACCAAATCGGTTTAATTGAGTATCATCAAGTAAATCTATAAATTCCGTAGGTTGCATAGCTACCAAACCATCATCTAAAATCCCATTTGGAGAAACAGGTTTAACACCTGTTGTGTAATCCATATCGACTATATCCGTCGCTCCATCTGTTGAATATAACAAGAAATCTTTATGTTTCGAATCGTTATCAGTATCACCATTACCTTTACCATCTCTTGATAAAACCATAAAAGTAGTTGGTGATAAATAATGAATCTCCGATTGAGCTAAAGCTTTTGCTTTCCCATTGGTCACTGGTAATTCTAAAACGTATGCGTGAAGTAAAATAGGAACCGAAGAAGTGACATCGTAAATGAACATTCTTGTAAATCTTCCTTCTCCGTTAAGATCGACATCTTGCATACAACCAGATTGTAATAAAACGTAAAGTGTTGAACCATCTGGTGATGCTGTTATACCTTCAAATCCTTGATTTGGTTTACGTCCAGTATCAGGAGTAGGATCTTCATCACCTGCTCCAAAGTAAATTTGACCGTTTAAATATGGTACAACGGCTCTGGGAGGTTCGATGGTTGTTAAAATATGACCATCTGAAGAATATTTATAGATGTAAGGACCATATTCATCAGAAACCCAAGTCGTACCATCCGAATTTATGATGAGACCTTCGTTGTCAACGGAAATATGATCGTAAGTAGAACTTGCGATTGGAAGAGGGATTGTCGAATTACGAACACCCAAAGCGTCAAGTCCGGTAGTAGGATTTCCATCGGATTCTTTGTAAAATACAGAGGATTGATATGATAGTTGGAATGTAGATTTAGCCGATTGATAATCTAATTTTGTACTTGAATAATATGGGTTTAAAGTGAAATAAATGAAATGATGTCGACCTATATAATCGATAGTTCCAACTGTGTTATGTCCACGATCAGGTTGAACCATCATGACACCTTCATAAGAATCACCGTTTCGTTGTGACCATTCTAATGCGATGGCAGAACCGATACCACCTATACTGTCACCAGCAGAGTCGAGTGCGTCTCCTGAGATGGCGCCGAATCCGACTAAGCCTTTGTTGATGTATGTCTGTCCGTTGAAGGTGACGTTGGTTTGGAAAGCGGGGTTGGGTCCAGTAGCACTTGCAGAGGCGGAAGAAGAGGCGGAGGCAGAAGTAGATGACGCGGAAGACGACGTCGACACGGAGGATGTGACAGAGACCGAAGAAGAGCTTGAGGAGACAGCGCTTGATGACACAGAAGCAGAGCTGACGGAAGCGGAAGTGGACGAAACCATGGAAGAGGAAGCAGAGACCGAAGCAGAGCTAGAAACGACAGAAGCGGAGCTGGATGCTGATGAGATAGAAGTGGACACAACCGAAGATACACTAGATACCGACGAAGGGGCGGAGCTGGATGAGCCGGCCGCACTTGAAGAAGCTACAGAGCTCGAAGCGGAGACAGAAGTAGAAGACGCCGAAGAGCTTGATGGTGCAGAACTTGACGAAGCGACCGAGCTGGGTGCCGAAGAAAAGCTCGAGGGGGCGACAGATGCCGATGACACCGATGAAGACGACACAGAGGCCGAACTGGAGACAACGACGCTGGTGCTAGTGGAAATTGACGCCGATGCCGAGGAACTCGGGATGAAAGTGGTGGTGGAACCATCTGTGACGTAGAGGCACAAAGCTGACGGTTAGTCAAGTAGATCATTGACAGAAAATCGTGCTCACCAGCAATGGGATCCCCCAAACCGACTTGAGCAGTAAAAGTCTTGAGGTCGAAATTGTCACGACCAGGATTATAATTGTTGGTAGAACTCGGCTCCATATATACGTAGGTACACAATTGAATTTCTCCAACGACAGGAGGGAGAATCCAAGGACCATACTCGCGTGCCGGGTTGGTGATTGAATATTCTCCGTTGGGAAGTATGGTGACGGATTGACCACCGTATCCATACACCAAAGTGCCTGTGGTGTTCGATGCCGTTTTCTCCAACATCAGCTTTTCTCTTGGAAGATTGAAAACAGCTCACGGAAGAGAGGGTCACAAGGGTGAACCTTTCGTAAGGGTTGTAAACGACCCCAGAAGTTGGGTAGAGGTAATATTGAGGTGTCACATATGCCTTTAAAACCTATCAGCTCATGATATCGTCATTGGAAAAGAAAAGAACTTGCCGTGCTATAAGGAACAGTAGTTCCCGCAGAAACTGGCTGATTGGCCCAAGACGAATACAAGGTTGATTGTAAACTCCTACGGGCAGGGAGAGCGACAGCGAAAGGCAAGGCCGCAAGGATAAGAGAAGGAAGGACCATGTTGAGAGTCGCTCCGGGAGGTAACGGTCAGTGGATCAGTACGATCAAGATGTTGACAGAGCCTCTTCCAAGAGACCAAGATATTTATATTGGAGGTCTGCGGCCATACTTGCGACACGTTCGTGAAAGTTGACATGAAAGAAAGACCCCCAAAACTGGACCCCGCCTTGTTGACATCGGTGACTCGTAGTCAGCAGACATAAAGAATACCAGGAACCCCCGAAGAACCGGAACATCCGCATTGAATGCTCCGACTTTAGATTGGTAGCATCAGAAATCAGCAGTATAAGACTTGAGTTTTTCGAAGAAACATTCAGGGACGACTTCCGAGCCGGGGTGACGATTGACGATTGACGAACGTGCGTTAGAAACCCCTGACGTCTTGACAATTAGAAGGGTACCTCAGAGACGTCTTCCAGGCCTCTGCTGTCTCACATGAGAGGCTATGGTACTGGAAGCGGTTCCGATGTAAGTCGAGCGTCGAATGCCCGGTCCAGATAAACATGGCGGAGGACGGTGGGGTCGACAGGATGATCCGAGTCAAGTAGGGACACATGGAGTGGGTCCGGGTGGTATTCCGCAATTGACGGCCGAAATGTCAATGCCGGCCGACGATGTTCAAGGTGGAGGGACGGTGAGTGACTCTTCATCCGCTGATCAGTCTCTCCTGGTGTATGTTACTGGTAAGTTGTACTGTATGAGAGCAACCATTGGACAGCAAGTGAGATGTTAAGGTGGTATGTGTGCCACTTGATTCGAAACGCCGAAACGCCGCTTGAGTCTGTGGATGAGGTGGCCACTCTCTCTATGTACTCAATTGCACTTGACTATTCTGTAACATCCTCGTCAACCCAATATGGAAGCAGAGCTACGGACCTATCGTGATCAACTAGCCTATGTAAACCTTTCTCTGGAAGCCAAACCAGATGACGAATCACTGCTCAAACTCAAAGAGGAGCTCCTCGACATTATCCAACTCACACAGGCTGCCCTCGATGCTCAAGCCGGTTCTAGCAAATCCGTCGATCCGTCCAAATCCAAAGGTAAATCCAGAGACGTCAACTGGCAGGATCAAGGACCCTACAAGGCGGGTATGGACTGTATGGCCAAGTACAAAGACGGGAAATGGTCAGTTTCCGTTCATGTCATGCTTGATTTGTATGTGTTTACTGAGATCAGGTATCCAGCGAAAATATCAGCCGTCGTAGGATCTCAAGATTCTCCTTTATACACTATCACCTTCAAAGGTTATTCCTCATCCACCAACGTTCCTGTCACTTCCCTACGACCACATGATCCCAGTGCTCCTGTACCTACCCAGAAGAGAGGCGCTGAGGAATTGAGTGAAAAGGAGAAGGAAAAGAAAAAGCTCAAAGGGGAAAAGTGGATGGCTTCACAAAAAGCGAGAGCTGAGGAAGTCAAAGAAAAGAAGAATGCATGGGAGAAGTTCGGCAAGAAGGCTCAGAAGAAGGGTATTCACATTGCCGGGTATGTTATGACTTACCAACTTGAGGACACAGAACTGATGAGCAGTCTGGAGGGCAAGTCGGTGTTCAGAACTGCGGACAATCCATTCGGCAGAGGTGAGTATCAGTCGAATTGCAGAATGGTACTGATATCCAGTTGGAGTAGTAGGTTCAGGAAAGGGAATTACCGAGTACGAACGTATGGGCAAGCACAAGTTTGATCGAGAGAGTGAGGACTGAAAAGTCATGATAGACGTCCCCCCGGCACATCGATCGGTACTGCACTCATTATTATACATTGTTACGTCCTTGTATTCTACATTTCACATTGTTTATATGCTGAGTCCTGTCCCCAGGTCTGCTACTACGAGTCTGAAGAGAACAACACATTGGTATGTCCATTTTCAAATGCTGTGCGATGTAGAGAGTTATCAGCAGCACTATTGAAAATATCCGTTGACGTCAACTTTTCAACCGCTTCAACAGCCTGAAGAAGTGCCAGCGAAGTACTTAAAACTAATAGACATAGTATATGTGCTGACACCGTCATGACCAGTTAATCCTCCAAGTGTATCACAACTCCGAGACCGATCCTTATGTCCGTTGTCGACTGGCCGAGCGCGCTGCGCTTCTCTCAGCTTCCTTTTGTAGCCTCATCGCTTGAAGCTGGACCGCCAACCACCCCAACCCGAACAAAATGCCGCAAACGAAAACGCTCTCGGTCAGCATGTCTACAGTCGCGAGTAAAAGGTCACGTACAACCACCCGAGAACCGCAAGCTTGAAATCAATTCCTTGATTTTGAGTGCCGACCCAATAGCCCAAATCCCCTCCGGCGGCGACGAGCACCATTAACGTTAGTATCGCCGCGATGAGTCTGACCCAAACGGGTGGCATTCGTACGACACGACCTCTCTTGCGAGCTTCGGTGGCCATTGCGATGATACATAGAATGAAAATGTAGGCTAGAAGGAATACACCCAGGATGAAGTGAAGGAGAAGAATGACTGGAGCGTGTTTGACTGCGATGGGCCATTCGCCGGGTGTGGGATACGGTAAGGACGTGAATCGAATACTAACAATATCAGCTTCTGACTGACTACTTTACTGTATCATCGACTTACTGTGGATTACCACGTTCCGTATAACCCCATGCACCTATATCCCATGTTCTTTGTCCGTTGCTGTATGTGAAGACGGGTATCAAGTAGACGCCAGCGAGACCGATGATGACGAGGAGGAGGAAGGGTAGAATGAAGTGCCATGTGGAGATGGCGGATTCGGTACAAATACTAGGTGTCGTGCTCTGCTTCGTTGTGGATCTGCTTCTAGACCGTGAGCGTGAGTCGGAAGGCATTTTTTGAGACCAGCTCAGACCACTGATGAGATGTATGAAACGATGTACGGCACCTTGAGTATTCCTCACTTCCATGACTGTCATCCACCCGACTACATAAGGAGCTTGAGGGGTATGAAGGGATGAACACGGAGATTATTGGGTGAAAGGAAGCATGAGGGTTTCATATTACCGTGTCGGTTCATTTCGTCTCTGACCCACCTGATCGATCTTGTACTCATGTCTATGGTTTTCTTCTCGATTTGGCTTTAGCTTTCGCCTTTGCCTTTATCAGATCTCTTTCGATTTTGATCGTCAAGCCAAACGCTATCAACCAAATCACTCCCAGTATACCAACGCCGATTGATTGACTAAAGGCCATCAGCTCCATATTCAGACATGATTCAAGTGATAAACTTACAAACCACCTAATACTGTCGCATTCAGATCTTGTCCTTTTGCTTTGGCTCTTTGCCATATGGCGAAATCCCACCATCCGGCAAGTTCGACTAACCCTATGAAGATGATAGTGAAGAACCAACGCCAATTGGGACTGATACCTTTAGGATTGGCGTACATGACGTATCCAAGAAACAATACGAATACCCCGAGAAGAATAGCAAGTACAAATTCCAGTAACAATACCAATGGTATTTGTGTGACTGGTGATTCCCATTGTTCAGGTGGAGGATAATTCCATTTCCTATCAATAAGTCATGCTGAAACAAAGAGGAGAAAATGGGATTAGACATACCCCATGTAATTGTTCGGTCCAAATCCAGTAGCGGCTATATCATACGTTCTTCCGTCTTGGTCATAGATGAATACGGGGAATGTGGTGGTGGAAGAGAGAAAGAGTAACACATCAATGATAGCAGGAAGGAAGAGAGATAATGTTTTAGGTACCAATGGGGTACTTGTCCAGATTGAAGTGGACTTTTTACTAGATTTGCTCATCGCATTTGTTTGAAGATACAAATAGAGGAAGAGGATATGATGTAGATGTTAAATTTCCTCCAACTTCTAGTCGTTGTTGCTTTACAGTGAGCTTAGGTTTCCCAGGGTTCATACTGTCCACCAGGGGTTGTAGAGTGAATGGAAGAGTCGGGGGTCGTGTGCCACAAAGAGTGATTTCGCCACAAGTTTGGAGAAATTTGATTCCGTTTCGTCAATTTCCCAAAGACGGCAAGAACAAGGGAAAAATATCCATCTTTGTCCTTTCTTTTTACCATTTGCTCAGAACAACCCTCATCCACTTCCATAGTAATCCCTACAGTATCTCAGTCAGATAACCACATACAATTGAGGAAATTGAAAGTGAACTGTCCGTCCGTCCAGATCCGATATCAAAGAATTTGATCTCAACATCTTGATTGTCTTCTTTCCCGATCAAAATCTCAACCTCCCTTTCTTTCCACACACCATGACGACAAACGGATTACCTCCCAATGCCGTACAGGCCAACATGACTGCTCTCAACAACGCTCTTGCCGCCGCTAAGATATCTTCACCTAAATCCACATCAAAGGAGATCCTGTCAGACGATAGTTCCGCCTCTCATGATGGCGTGACGACACCTAGAGAGGAGAACGAGTTGGAAGATGGAGAGATACAAGATGATGAAGAGACAGAAGCGGATGATGGACGTCCTAAAACCATTTTCGACAGTAAATCTAAATTCAATGTCAAAGTTAGTTTCTGATTCATTTCACGAGATGGAAGATCTTTCATGGCTGATGGAAATAGCATCCATTGTTTTCCTCTTGGACCCTTTTCTTCGATTCACCACAATCTAAACTTTTACCCAAAACACCTACTTCAGCTCCAGCTTCTAATACCACCCATGGTAAGCTACTTTTCTCCTTTCAGTGATTTGCTTAGAGCTGATAGGTTCAGGAGGATGGATGGACGATATACGTAAAGTTGTTACTTTTGAATCGGTCGAAGAGTTTTGGGGTTTGTATAACAATATTGTACCTCCTTCTCAATTACCACAAAAAGCGAATTATTATTTGTTCAAAGTGAGTCTCAATCATACCTTTTCCTAATGTCAATTTCACCGGACTTGGAGACTGATAGAGATAGGATGGTATTATGCCCGCTTGGGAAGACGCGCAAAACAAAGATGGAGGGAAATGGTCACTTCAAGTACCGAGAGAGAAGAACAAAGGCGTCATTGATAAGATGTGGTTGTATACTGTGAGTTTGTTCTAACAAGAACATCAAGTAAGTAGCTGAGTGGGACAGATGCTCGCTGCTATTGGAGAGACGTTTGAGACTCCTTTACCTACGCCAGACAACAAAAGCCCGGCTCCTAAAGCTTCAGATCTTGTGACTGGTGTCATTGTCTCTGCTCGTCCGGGATTGTAAGTCAAGTCATTCTACACAAACCCCCTCCGGACCCCACTCCACCCGATCTAGCCCTGTGTCAGCCCACCTCCCTCTTCGTCTTTTTTGCTCATTGTAATTCCCAGCGCGTCAGGGTACACCTCAGGATGAGCTGACGTTCAGCTATCGGATATCTATTTGGACCCGTAACGCCCCCGATGTTTCGTTGCCCGACACAGACGAGTTGAAAGCTCGAACTCTCACCATTGGTCGACACTTTAAAGTTTCCGTGTTAGGCTATGACCTCGACCAGAAGCTCGTTCAGGGTGGCTTCCAGACTGAAGTCACCTTTGAGAGTCATGCCAATAGCGAGAAGAAGAACAATCGTGCGAAGATAGTCGTGTAGCAGAAGAGTTGGATCTACATTCACATGCCATCTATCATCTATGTATCTCTTCCTGGTATATCTTTGGTGCGTTTCAATGTATACACCCCAAAACGCGTCTTCCAGGGATCCTTCTTGTCCTAAATTCTCACGCACCGTACTGATCCGAATGTTGCATTGCTTTGAGGGTGCAGGTATGGTAAGCGAGAACGCCTTGATGCTAGCGATGTCCAAACATATAACTTCATAACTTTGACAACTGTATTTCATCGACTTACCGACATATGAAGATTCCAGGTGAACAACGTATACATATCCCATTCACGGAATTGACACCACAATCAAATATGCTTGGTCTTATTCTCAGTAAAGATCTCAACATCCTCCTATCCGACTTTCGTCGTAATCCCTATACTCCCTCATACGCCATTCCAGATCCTATCAGTCCTTCGATCCGCGAAGCCGCTCAATCGATCGGACCCAACTGGGGATATAAAACTTGCGAAAAGGTATTCGATTTCGATGGTGGATGGGTAGAAGAGATCGATGAAATACGTAGGATCGCATATCATGAACCTAAAGAAGAACAAGACAAACTTCGTTGGTTTATGGGATATAGGAAAGCTTGTCAAATCATCCTTTTCGCTTTACCTCCTGCTATCGCCGAACTCCCAGGAGTGCAATGTGATCTAGGATTGGAGTCGAGAGTCATGTACGATCTTAAATTGGTCGTTCTGGCATTAGAAGAGTTGATGGATAGGATCAAAGTGAGTCAACCTACTCCATTATCGAACGAGGTCGTATACTTGTATTGACAGATAGACGGTGACGGAAGGAGGGAAAGTGAACATGAGTGACGAAGAGATCGCAGAGGCCGCATTGTATCATGGTGGTTTCAATGAGGATTATGATGGTTGAAAAGGGCGTCATTGGGCGTATAAGTTGGATCTTCGGATCTTATCGGATAGATATGAAGCTCATGGAGAGGATGGAAAGGATAACGCCACAAATGAAATAATCTAATGACGAATATCTTTGTACGTGTTTTTCACAGATCAAATATACTGATGCTTCAAACGAACGTTTATGGACTTATCTCTTACCGACCGAAGTGGACCTCATGGTGAGGAGAAACTGATCCGCACTCGTCATTCGAAATTCGAAGACGGATACTCTTTAGCGATAACGACCGTTTGAAGATAAAAGACTAACAAACTTCAACGGCATTCACAACTTTCCCGGCATTCACATCCCTCTCAACTTGACAACTTTGCAAAATCCCCTTCTACAACTCACGACATGGTGATCGCGCTCACTCTACACTGCAGCGCCAAAGATCTCATCTCCGGCAACCCACAACACGGGATAAACATCACCATAATCCATGATTCTATCGACCTTGGATCTCGCATGACAAGTGAGGCTTTTCGTATGTACCGGGATGATTGGTTCTCGTGCGCTGCTTCAAAGGTCCCCAGCAAGGATCAGCCTTGGGTGACGGATAATAAAGATATGAGATGTCATCAATACAAGGAACCCGCACCAGAGAAGCAAGCCGAATGGGTGAAAAGTTATCACGACACGTGTGAGGTTATCTACAAAACTCTACCTTCCAACATGCAGAAGCATCCTGAACTGCGGACGATGATTGGACCCGAATCGGAGATGATGTATGATTTATACGTGGTACTACGATCAATCAACTTTTTCATAAAAAGTCTCAGGGGGTGGCGTTATTGATGTGAGTGTGAATGTTCTTGCATTGAGCGTTCGAGATGCTAATAAGGCAGTCATGATCATGATGATCTTCTCCCATTCGAGCGCTTACTACCTCGTCAACAATTTTGCCATACACTCCTTACCCAGCAACCACCATGTTTCTGAATGTGAAGCGGGAAGAGGGATGTATGATATAATGATAGTTCTGTATTACGACAATATCGTCTGTGATATAAAAGCCGAACGACAGCATACCATGCACAACATGATCAAGCACGTTTTCGGAGAAGCCAGTCATTCCCAATTCTTTGATTTGCCCACTACAAGTATGGTGTTCGAAAGTTCTCACAAAATCATACTGGACTGATACTGTTCCTCAGCTTTGAGTACACTAAGACCAACGGTTTCAGCAGATTCGGTCATTGCAAGTACTTGAGTCGACCTGCTAGCCAGTTCTATTTGACGAAAGGAGGGGTTAATCTGACGTTCGATGTTATCATTCCGAATGGTGTACTATGAACGTGACGAGTTTCGTTTGGCTGCCTTCGGTACCGTGTCAGGAGATGAGTGGTCAAGGGACAGTGTCGTGATCCTGACGGAACATGGATCATAGGCGTGGGTTCCATCCAACCGCCAAACGTAGCAGTAGACTTACGGATTTGACCGCTTGTGTACATAGATTTCCGTTTCCCTGTACACCTCCTACCAGACTCATAATAGGGATGAGAGCTAGGAAATCACTCCATTCCTTATCGGCGATGCACCAAACTGATTATCATCATTTGAAATTGGCCCCTTCGCATCGTGATCAAGTTTATATTCGAACACATGTTCATCAAGAGGCGCCTCAAGGGCGCGAGGGTTTTCGTCGTGCCCGATAGGTCGTACGATACCATGATAGCATCCCCCACAGAATCGGGATTGGAACTACAACATGGGGAGTTCAGGTTGAAGTGGTTGGTTCCAGGTATCTGCACATCATCAGCTTTCGTCATCGCACCTCTTCACCCACAAGCTCACGTACCGTCGACCTCCGACTACCACACCACAAGTTCGATAACGACATCATGTTGAGACCAAGCCCCAGTGTCTCTTGTCTTCGTAACCATCAGAAACCATCAGTCCAAGGTCATATCAGTTATCACTTCGATTGGGACCACAGACAGGTGCTTGTCAGGGCGGTAAAAGATATGAACGTCGAGACGTGGTCGAGAAGAACACTTGAGAAAGTTATTGACACCCGTACTGGCGCTGGTTGGGTAGAAGGGGATGATGAAATACGACGATTCACTTATCGAGAACCCCAATCGGAACACGATCTATCGCAATGGGTAATAGAATACCGATGCGTTTGCCGAACCATCATGCGTTGTTTACCGGACGAGGTTGCCAATGTCAAGGAGGTACAGGAGTATTTGGGGGTTGATTCGACTGTCATGCATGATCTAAAGCGCGCAATTGCCGCTCTTCAACGTTTGTTGGGAGAGCTCAAAAGCTGGTGAAAGTGGTTGGGGGATCAATCTATGGGCGAAGAGTAAGTATCATCGTTGAGTAACCCAAGAGCTGACATGAGTAGATTCATTCGATAAGTCCATCGGGGACCGTAACTTCGAGTGAGACTCGTGACAATTTACCTTCTTCACGTACACATCGAGCTCATACAACTTATATATCGCGGCGATACAACTCACTATGTATACATTTTTTTCACTTGACAGATCATCGTTATCCAGTGTAAACCCTCAACCATCCGCTAACCCCTGCGCGGCATAAAGGACACGATGCCCACTTATTGTCTGTCGATGATAGTGTGATCCTCCCATCGTCCCCTAACGTGCTACAGAGATCTTCAATGGATTCCGTGGGGCTCAAAAGATCTTGTGCTCTGTATTCTCCCCCTTCTTTACCCGATGTCGGTGGTATATATCCAGCAAGACATAAGCGGCGAGATTTGGGGTGATTGGCCGTTGCTCGTAAAAGGGTGATGTTCCAAGGTTCTCTAACTGGTCTTGGATGGTGAGGTGATTCAGATACATAGATAGGTTCAGATATGACGTGTGGAGATGGTTGCGAAGATGAGGGTGGGAAACAAGGCCGACCCCGTAAGATGAGAAGTGGAGCGCAGAGATAGCATAGATTTAGATGACAACCTGTTTGGTGTCAGTGAGTCCTATGTGGTCGTTAGACTTACAGGGGAGAAGAACAGCTGTCGGTGGTCTGGTCAGACACAGGAGACAGAGTGGGAGTGGGCGGCTATCAAGGTCGGGCTTGCTCGTGAGGGATGGATCTGCAGAAGAGGAGGTCTCCACGGGTTGATGGCTCTCGGTGACGGTCTCCTCGACTGGCGGCGCCACAAGATGCCGGGCCCGTCTGATGCCCTCAAGTTCGGCTCCAATCACAGTGAGGTTGAGCTCGTCGTTGGGCATGATGTAGGGAGGGGGAGATGAAAGAATATATACAAAGAGTGATACAGTAACTCAAATGGACAACAGAGCCGATCGGCAGAACCGAATACCCGTGATAGGCGCGCTGGAGGCGCTCCTCACCTTTCGCACGCCTAGTGGTATCAACTCCGCCACTCTCACCGAACCCGCACTCCTTCGTGTCAACTTTCTTACTTGTCATTCAATCAGATTCACCATGCTCAACGGCCAGGATGGTCTCATCCCCCGTCCAGGACCTCCCCCCAGACTTATCGAAGGTCCTAGAACTGGTGACAGAAGTCTGTATCAACAACAAGTCCTCGACGTGAGTTTTTTCTCCTTCTTTCCCTTTCAACAAGTGCTGATGTCAAATAGGAAGATACGTACACCGAAGCTCTTTCACATATCATCACCCGTGATTTCTTCCCAAACCTTCCCCATATACACGCTACCAACGCCTATCTCACCGCTTTGACCAACAATGACCCCGAACTTCTTTCTTCCGCTATCCGACGTCTTGCCGCTTTGGCTCAAGAGAAAGATGACGCTCGATCGGGATCAAACAATGGGCAAGAACAACGTGACGCTGAAGAATCCAGAAGGAGGGAGTTGGAGAATATGGGAACACCTTATATTACCATGCCGGGGAATAGAAGGTCTCTTCGAACTCCCATAGGAGCGAGAGGATGGGATACGCCAGATGTCAGAGGTGAATCCTCTACCAGACGACGGGATGACGACGACGACGAAGAAGATGTAGACGAATTAGAGGGAGATAAAGATAGACCAGGTCCATCTAAACCTAGAAAGCGACGGAAACCTCCTGCTCCACCGAAAGTCCGGGATGATTTGAGTCTCGATGCTTTTCAACGAAATTACACTTCCGAAGATAACGCTTCTTTCGTTCAGATCGTAGATGCTGAGAACAAGCAAAGAAGGGAAGAAAGATGGGGTTGGGCATGGGAAGCTGAGAGAAAGGCAGAACAGAGACGTATAGAGGGAGAAGAGAAGAGAAGGTTGTTGTTGGAAGCGGCTACGAGTGGGAATTGGAGAGTGGATGCCAATGGGAAAAGACTTGTTGGTGGTTTGGATGAAGGAGGGAGGGACAGGACAGAAGGAGAAGCATGGAGAGACAGGAAGATGATCAGTTCCGGAGATCAACCTACACATACTGCTGCCGGTCAACTACCAAAGCAGGTAGAGGTAATAGTAGCGGAGGGGACTCTGGTGCTTCACTCGGCGGGACAGACTTCAAACGCTCTCATCACTAAGGCTGATGCGGAGGCTTCAATGGTTAAAACAACACCCGACTTGGTGGAGAAAGAATTACCAGTGGATCATCCTCTGAGTCGCGTATTGGAAGAAGCAGGTTTACCAACCACCGTACTGGTCTCTTCTGAAGACGGTGCCATCGTTCCTCATCGAGAAGCCGTCAATGGAGAAGGGGAAGGTAGAGGTCGAGGAGTTGAGGAAAGAGAACGAAGGGAGAAAGTTGAGAAAGATGTTATGGGAGAGGTTCGAGGTGATACATTATCTTTAGCTGGGAGTGGGACTGATCAATGGGGTTATAAAGTATGTCATCAATCATTCAATCATTTGTTTGCTGATGATATTTAGACGAGAAACAATTTTTATTTTCCAGCTGATGCCAATACGGCACCTTATCCAACATCAAGAAACGTTGTCAAAACTTCTGAAGGTGCACGTCAAGCTCCACCTTCCATATCTCACGCCAATACTCGATTACAAGATGAAGAAGAAGTTCGACCTGCTCATACATTTCGAGAAGGTAGTAAACGTAGTAGTAGTCCTGCTAGAAGTTGGATAGATGCCGCTGTTAAAGGTACACCATGTAAGTTTCAACTCCACTTTCATTCATTCAAATCTTTGCTGATATATTTCAGATCGACCAGGTGGAAACGTACCTGATATGCCTGAAATAAACGGTTATCCATTAGTACCTACCAACCCAACACCTTTACCACAAGATCTTCCATCTTTACTCACTTGGGGAACACTCTTATCGACCCCTAGAGCATTAGATGGAAATGATGATCCTCTAGATTTATCAGGTCCATCATTCAAATTACCAGAATCAAAACGACGTGATGAATTAGGTAGAAAATTAGGTGATAAAGCAGGTAGAGCAATGAACGAAAGAGCTAAAAGCTTTACACCTCATCGTATTGGTTCAACATCAACAACAACACTTAGTTCTGTTTTACTTTCCGCAGCTGAAAAAACAAGAAAATCATCAAATGGTAATAAAACACCAGGTCAAATGTTACCTCCTTCAACTCCAAAACGTCAGGATAATCTTACTCCAGCAGCAAAGAATTTATTACAAAGAAGTTTAGGAATGAGTCCTATGATTAATTCTGGTAAATCTGGACTAGGTATTTCGACCGGAGCGAGAAGTAGAAGTGCTGTTATGGAGAAAACTACAGGTTGGAAAAATACAACTTTGGGTAAAAGAGAAGTAGGACAAAGAAGTTGGACTCCAAGTCCTGCTCATCGATAAAACCATCATAAGTACCATCGTCATCGTCATCGCCATCGCCATCGTCATAGTCTTTGTATGAGTAGCTATCCTTTCAGAGTAGTATGAGTAATGTTCACATGCATTGACACAAACTTGACAAGTAAAATAAATAATTTGATTGAACAAGGAAAAAAGGTTATACACCATGTCATACACCCTTTCCAACTTAATCATTCACATCACCCTCCCTTCCTTCCCTACTCCCTATCATCACATAACTTGACATTCAGTTACAGATCAAACATGAAGCATTAACGTTGATGAAACCCTGTCAAACTTTACCCTCCCTCAAACGTCTATGGTTGATTCCCATCCTACCATCTATCCCCATTCCATTACCCATAGGAGTTTTGTCTTCTCCATACTTTGTCCAAGCTGATGCAGCACCAGCATTAGGAATACGAGGATAAGGTGTATCTAAATCTGCTTTAACATATTGAGCGACTGTCGGTGCTGTGGGAGAAACGGACCAAGGTCAGCTCACGTTCTTTTCGAAATGATTCAATAAAAGAAAGTAAACTCACCACCATCATATCTCGCTCTGGGTCTTACTGTTGAATCTCCCCATGATGTTTGAGGTTGTGATGGAGCTACACTTGCTGGATAAACGGGTTGTTGTTGAGCTGTTGGAGGAGGTGAAGAATGAGAAGGAGACTTATGAAGAGTTGGTGGGACACCTGCTGGTAGATAACCGACTGGAGGACCGGCGAGTTCTAAAAAGTCAGCTTTTCGGGTTTCCCAGTCAATTAACGAGATCGACGAAGGGTTCGCCTCCAAACACAAAGGTGGAAAAGCAGTAAGATGATGGGTGTTGTTGCGAAGGGTAATACAGAAGTGAGGTTGAATTATGAAATATGGGTGATAGGATAGGGGAAGGAAAAAGATATGGTAAGAGGTTATATCATGACTCACCTCGACCTTCAAGATATCCATAATGACCTTGACGACCTTGTTTCATTTTACCCGGGTCGAATGCTTGCATAACACCTTCACCTCCCATCCCTTGCCCCATTCCCATCCCCATTCCCATACCTTGACCAGGTCCAGGTGTCGGGCCCGCACCAGGAGAAGTAACACCCATGGGATGTTGACCCATCATCATATAAGGATTCATTCCACCCATACCCCAACCAGACATGTAAGGGTTATACATCCCGTTCGGACTACTGTTATGTGAAAAGTAAAGTGGCGAGTGGATCGATTTGTGACGATTGGAAGTTGGACAAAGAGGAAAGGATCAATCGTCAGCCCGTTTCTATAGGGAAAAACAGAAATACAGAAAGAGAGAGAATTCGGGTGCCCCCCGGGGAGAGGCGGGGAAAACAAGAAGACAACACGTAACCACAAGACCCTCGTTCCTTTCGTATTACCCCGCATAGCAAATGGATGTCGTCACACACAAAGGATGAAAACTCATGGGGGTTTTGAACGAGGCTCATGGGGTATCACTTATCGGAGTATGATTTTATGAATTGGGGGTGTTTTAGTCATGAGAAACAAGGGAGAAGAAGAAAAAGAAGGAAGAATGGGACAAACACAAGACCCGGCCGTCCATACACTGCCCCGGTCATACCGGTCATATTCGTCATATTTGACATAGGTGTCATACCTCCCATCGTTGTCATACCTCCCAAACCATGTATCCCAGCCCCACCGATACCTCCACGGCCGAACCCTCCTGAACCCATCCCCATAGACGTCATAGGATTAGGAAGGCCAGCACTGGGTCGTGAAGTTTGACCGTGAGGATGACCCATCATGGACATTGACTCTCCATGATTTTGCATCCCACTGAGACCAAATCCGATTCCCCCATAAGGGGTTGGTTGGGGCATGGGTTGTTCATAGGCTGGGAAGGTAGGATGATATTGAGCACCGACGGTCTGTAAACCCGCCGGACGCATAGGAGGGGACATTCCAAACATGTTGAAAAATGGAAAAGTTTGTGGGAGGGAAACGTGGATTGGATATGAAAGATAGGGGTTATGAAGTCATATGCACCATGACTCAAAGTCTTTCATTTACCCCCTTTCACCCTGGGATCACCCGACAGGAATGGACGGAAACGGAGACGAGGACGATAACTGAAAGGATGGAGGCAAAGGAATAGAAATACGCCTCTCAAAGGAAGCTAGAAGCACTCACACTTCGGCAAACCCGTTTTCCCCGTTGACCGACTTGACTTGCTCAGATTGTGCCAAACTAACGGATGACGACTTGTGCTTAAGTTCTTCTGGTGTTCCCGCGAAATGGACTTTTCTGATCCATCAGAGAAAAAAAAAACATCACTAGAGCTACGCTTACGTTTGCTTATTCTGGCTTTGTTGATCTGCTTCCTCCTGCTCGTACATGGCTTGACCATTTTGCATCGCCCACCAATAATAACTTGGATCCCACATCGAATACATTTGAGCTTCCGTCATGTTCGGCATTCCAGCCCAAGGATACGCGTACGACCCCGGGTAGCCATAAGGCCATTGTTGTGTCGCATCGCCTCCGAGCATGGAGGTTTGACCATCGTCATTCGGGGTGACGGGAAGGGACGAAGGTTGTGGAACTTGAGGCATTTGAGGTATCCTTGGACGAGCTTGTTCACGGTTTTTGGGAACCCACTCGCGACTACCTATCCCATCGTTGTCATCACCCACACCACCTTCTCTTTCTTGTTTCCGACTTAACCAAGCTTCATACTCCGCTTGAGCCTTTTCCAACTGGGCCGCTTCGTGTAAGACCGTCTTGAGCTTCGGAGGACCTTGTGATTCTGTACCGGGAAGTTCAACCTCTTGGTAAGTTCCTAAAGGGGAGAACAAAGGAATAGGGAGAGTCTCATCGGGCTGATTACGCTCCATCGATGCACCAGCTCTAGATGGGTGCAAACGGGGTCGAACTCCTACGTGAATGGAGGTGACACCGCTGGGTGCAGCTCGGATAGGAGCCCGAGGCATGTTAGGTGGATAGGCTACATATGTCAGCTGTAGACTTTTCAAGATGATCATCAACTCACCTATAGCCCTGTCAGCCTCCCGACGTGTTTTTTCTTCAGCCTCTCTAGCAGCGTCTACCTGAGACGCCCAAATCCCTGATCGTTCCCATTCTTGATCCTTTCTCCGCTGCTCTACTCTCTCCTTGGTGTATCCCGTGACTTGTTTGCCAACACCATATTCACCCAATCTCGTTGCTGTACCTCTCAGCTCTGCTTCCCACTCATCTGCCATACCGTCTTCAGCGGGAGCAGGAGTGGAGGTTTGGACCTTTGCAGGACGTGCCCGACTCAACACTTGTTCCGAGGGAGGTAGCGAATGCGCTTCTCTCCGTTGAGGGATAGCTACGGATCTGGTATCGCGTTCAGCCGGTCGGCGCTCTGCTCTAGAAGGCGCAACGGCTTGCTCAGCTTGAGGTGCGGTTTTTGCTCTACTTTCATGGCTGGGAGTAGGCGTTGCGGCCGCTCGAAGTTTCGTGGGTTGAGTGCGGGGTCCAGTCAAGGAAGCCTGTTCCGTCGTTTGACTCGTTCTCACTGGAGTCGATTGTAATCTGGGTGACGGCGATTGTTGTTCAGCGGTAGAAACCACGGACAATCTGGAAGGACGTTTGGTGACTGTCGGTTGGCTAATCCTTAACTGGCTCGTCTCCTGCGTGATCGACTCTATGGATTGAGACGGTCGAAGATTGCTTCTTCGCAATTGGTTCTTTTCATCGAGTCGGGGACCATGGGGAGATTCCACTCGTCTAGTAGGAGAAGGAGTGCTGGCGTGTTTTTGGGCGTCGGGAAGTCTACGTAGTTGAGAGGGTGAATCTGTGAGACCGAGGGAAGACGGCGTGAGACTGGATAAGGTGGAAGGGTAAGTTGTGGACGTGGATGTGGAGAAGAAGCTATCTCGGTTGAGGATTGTCATGTCTATCAGGGATTTGGTAGAGAGAAAGAAGAAGTTAATAGAGACAAGAAGTAGTCACTCGAGTACATACACACAGGTAGACGATTGTAAGGGTAGAAGGTCAGTCAACAGGACATGGCCCAACCGGGCGGCCTGGGAGAACCAAAGGACCATGGTTTTGTGAGCATCATCGAGCCGTAAGTAACTTATGGGAAAAGTTAAAAGGAGGAGTATCAGGCTGTACGACGTACGCTACACTCAATGAGATCACGATGTGAGATGCGCCTGAAGTCGTATGGCCAATCTATGAGCATGGGTAAAAGAGAGATAGAGGGAGAGTTGAGTTAAGAGATTGCTTGATTATTGCCCGATTGGGGAATGTGAGTACGAAAGAGCAGTCAGCTGTCCCGTATTGCCGACGACGCAACCTCACTCACTATCAACTTACTCTCTCACACTACCACCCTCCTCTCACCATTTGTGACCACCGACGACACTCCGTCTCCTCCCCACTCCAGCTTCGCTTCCCTAATCCCTGTATCCTCATACTCGAACGATCTCCGTAGCTTCTGCCGGCACATCAATCCTCCCCTCCCCTCCCCGTCGCCATGTCCGGCCCTTCCACCCCAACCCCAGCAGCCGAGTTCACATCCAGCAGCAACCCCTTGAGAAAGTTCAAACTTGTCTTTCTCGGAGAGCAGAGTGTAGGTAAGACTAGTCTGATCACAAGATTTGTAAGTCTCTCTTCAGACATTCCTCGGTGGCTGTAGCTTGTTGTTCAGCGCTTACGCCCGGACAGATGTACGATACTTTTGACAACACATACCAAGCCACTATAGGTTAGTAGATATCCCCATATCCACTATTCACTCTTATCAGATACCGGATGAATGTCTGACACTCATAGGAATCGACTTTCTTTCAAAGACAATGTACCTCGAAGACCGGACGGTACGATTACAATTGTGGGATACTGGTAAGTTCTTATCGTCATGTCTCACACAAGCTGATCATCGTAGCTGGGTGAGTTGATCTTTAGCCTACGTCTCGGAGTGTACTGACGCTACTTTTTCTACCATGTGTGGACAGTCAAGTAAGCTGGATTTTAGTCATGGAAAGGTGAAGCTGATCTTTAGGAACGTTTCCGCTCTCTCATCCCTTCTTACATCCGAGATTCCTCTGTAGCCGTAATCGTGTATGATATCACCAGTAAGTTTGTCTCCCCTCATCATCTTCTTTTCATAATACCATATATATTCTAAGCTGAACTCATCCAGATCGAACTTCTTTCCTCAACACATCAAAATGGGTCGACGACGTGCGGAATGAAAGAGGTCAAGATGTCATCATCGTTTTGGTAGGCAACAAGACGGATTTGAATGACAAACGGTAGATCTCACCATCACCTACTGACACTGTAAGCTGACAGTATATAAGACAAGTCACTCCTGAGGAATTGGACAAGAGGGCGAAGGAATTAGGTGTCATGTCTATCGAAACGTCGGCTAAAGCGGGTCATAATGTCAAGACGTTGTTCAAGAAGATTGCTATGGCTTTACCTGGTGGTGCTGAGAACAAAGATGCTGGGGGGAATCAAAGTAGGTATTATCCTTCTCTGGTGCCCGCCTCGCTAAGGTATCATGGAATGTGCTGAGAAGACAGAAATCGACGTATCTGCCACAACGGGCGAGGAACCACCACAAGCGTCAGGATGTTCATGTTGACCTCCTCGTCTGAGATATGAAGCTGGAGTGAACAGCTACGTAGCTGATAAGCATGCAGACTGGGACAGAGTAGACGTTTTACGATTGATACATATGTATGATTTGGACCAACCACTGTGGGTATGGCCCTGTCCATGCATGCCATTCGCCTGTATGCTTGCGGTACATACTGTATATACAAGTAGGGCATAGGTATAGACGGAGTGGACGGAATGTCCGAAGCTAAAAGCGCACTCTCCTCGATCAACCCTTTCGTTGCCTTGCACTTGACCAACGCCCATAAAGTACTAAGTACTCTACCACTTGCTCTTTCTCAACCATCCGACATGACCTCTCAAGGTGGTTATGCCATCGTAGATGCTGATGAAGATGTAAGTATATCTGTTCTTCTCATGAGATTCCTCTTACTCACAACACTCGCAGGTAGGCGCAGATTCCAATGGTACCAATCTACAATTCAAGAGTTTGTTCCTTCCCCCCTCCCTCCCTCCCTTCGTTGTGATGAATCTGACAAGTAGCTTTCTTATCCACCGATCCAGCACCTGAACGTTCTACCTCGGCACATGAACCACGGGAAGCCCCGAATGTACCTTATAGTCCATTCAATATTGCTTTCTATCAAGTAAGTCTCCAATCGTTTCACCTCTCCATCCACTCTGTCGGATCAGATCCTTCTGATGACTGTCCACGGTCCACGGTCGGCGGTTGGAGGGTCAGGAGGGTAAACCACGCTTCTTGCAACAAATGAGAGAATGAGAAAAGCTAATCCTGAGGGATACTTTGATGTAGACACACAATCAGTTTTGAAACGAGTTGGAATGGCTATGATACCTAGATCTGATTTCTTATCTGAAGTATGTGATGGTAGGGTAGATTTATATGGTATGTTCTTTCTCCTACCTACTTGGTTACCTTCCGTCTTCCCATCCTTCCATCCTTCCATACTTCTATACTTCATCTCCTCTTTCTTCACTACTCCATGATCACATCATTCTCACTTTTCCCCTCTGATACTATGCCAATCATCGAGTCATTCAAACTCATGATAAGCACTAAAAACCTCATCTTCATAACACTACATCTATAGTCTTGAACCCCCTTCATCGTCTTATGAAATTTAACAATATTGACTTATAGGACCATTCTGGACACTATCAACTCTAATACTAACATGTTACACAACTTCAACCCTGACATCATCAATCACATCATATCTATCTTCACCCAATTCTGACCTTCCTTCCGACCTCCCACTTCTCTCCACATCTATATCAGTCATATATACATACGGTCTCATTCTGCCTTCTCTCTTATGGGCTACCACACGATGGTTAGGTGTAGCAGAATGGGGTGTTGTAGATTGTTTAGGATTGTATGGTTATTCAATGGGAATCTTCATTCCTATAAGTTTATTATGTTTGATACCTGTCGGTATACTTCGATGGGTCTTAGTAGGAGGTGGGGCAATGGGTTCTGGATTGTTTTTGTGAGTTCTTCGTTCTATTCGTTCTTGTCGTTTCCTCCGTTTTATTTGTTTCACTCGGTCCTGGTACTGGTGTGAAGAATGATGGCTGATGGAGTTAGAGTCAGAAATATTTATCCTATTTTAGAATCTGTGAGTCTTGGCTTTATACTAGTTTTGTCGTTTTACACCTAGGGCTTGAAATAAGGAAGTTGGGTGTTGGGTGTTGGGTGTCGGGTGCAGAGTGCAGAGGATAAGTCATTGGGAACGCTGATCCCCTCAGGCGGATAACAAAATGACAAGATTATTAATCATTGCAGTGGTCGTCCTACATGCCGCCATGGCATTAGCTATGAAAGTTCTTTTCTTTTCGTGAGTTCCACCCATCGCTCTTTCACCCACTCGTCCGATCCATTATCTCCCACCTTACTACCGTGCAATCTACCATGTCCTCTTATCATCTATCCTCCCCTTATATTGTTCTCCGTCTACCCCCACGCCGAACATCTAACTTATCCCCTGACTTCATTCTTCCACCCTGAACTCTTGTCACGTACGCACGAACTCTTGTACGAACTGCACTAATGACAGATACTCTGTTGACGGCGTAAACGTAGGACCAGACCCTATAGGTGACCCAATATGATTGATATGCATACAACAAATATATCATCTCCTTCATGATCGATGTTTCCACCCTCTTCTCTCATTTCCTTCATTTCTTCAAACCTAAAAACTATCGAAGTAGATCACTAGGCGTCACAGCAGCTCTACCTAATCCACTCCCTGACCTCACTGTGGTATCGTTACCAGGTAACATAGCCCTAGAAGATCTTCTACCTAAAGTTGCAATCTTTCCCAAAACACTCAACCTGCTAGTCGTCTCCGCCCTAGCGCTCAAAGCTGGAGAGGGTGGCGTGAGATCAGGAATTGGAACGTCTTCTATCAAAGGTCTCCAAAAGATAAAGTCGGTATAATCAGGAATAAACTTTTTGTTGACGGGTGGGAAAGTTTCATTCACTAGATCGTTCTTCTCGTCAGATGATATCCTCACATGTCATCCATCCATCTCTCTAACTTTGAACAACGCAATCTCGAAAGAAGAGATATCAACTTCTTGTAAATCGAGTCGAGTTGACACGTTCAGATAGTATAGTTCAGAGTCTTGATAGAGGAGACGAAAAATTGTGTGAATGAGAAGTGAGATGTCACAAGGGAGAAGTAGAAGAAAAGGAAGAGAAATGACAACTCACCAATTGTATATAACTACCTTTATGTCCAGCAGCTTGAAGTAATTCAGTTTTCACAACACCTGTTGAATCTATTGTATAAATCTTGCTTGCTGGTATACCGACGGATCTATAACTCATAGCATCCGTTATCCTATTTCCAAACCCAGCGAAGAATGCGTCTTTCGCATTACGTCCGAATAACCTTTGGATATCTCTCAAACAAGCCATTTTGAACAATTCAGGTTTTCTCAAGATCACCTCTCTGATCATTAGTTGTCATTCCTTGTCTTTAACATTCGACCTTATCACCTGTCTAACAGCGATGAATGTCTCGTTGAGGCAGACCTCTTACTCATCAAGGTTGACAAAATTTATATTCTGTGAACCAACGTTCCTGGAAGAGTTGAGAATCATAAGTCGGGGAGGAATTGATATGCTAGAGAACTCACCGATGAAGACTAGCAATCAATCGATCAGGACTCATGATCACAGGACCATCCGGTAACCTATATTCACCCTGTACTATCCCCTTTAAATACTCTCTTGTGGAATCCGCTTGACCTATAGCACGTGAAGTCAGATACATAATCTTGTAGCCATTATTACTTATATCCGTATATAATTTAGCTATTCCTAAATGTGTCCAATCTTTTCCAATAGCAGCAAAGACATGTCCTAAAGCGTCGGATTTAGTGATGGTACCGTCGATATCGGAGATGACTATTTGGTCCGTTTCTTCCCATAGGAAAATACGAGCTGAACATATTGCTTGACCGGAGTAGGAGGAGGTGGCGGAGAAGCAAATGGTGTTGGGTCCAGGTTTGAGATTGAGAGATTTCTGAAATGAGCAATGGTCAAATGATCTGCGAGTATTTTGGCTATATGAGATGAGAGGAGATGGTCTGATAAGTAAGAGGGGAATAGACGCATATATACTTAGGCGGTGGATGTCATGTACAGGTCGATCGGCATGAAAGACATAGATGAAGACATACCAATTGATCAGATGATAAACGTAATGTCTTCGCGTAGTTCTTACGATGTGTAGGTTGGGTAGATTCAGTTGATAGTGGGGGAAGCTCTTGTGGGGCTTCATTACCGGATGTGATAGGAGTGAGCGTAACGTCAGAGGTCGAAGCTGCATGTTGAGGTTGAGGTTGAGGTTGAGGTTGAGGACCAGAATGAGGATCACCCCTCCACCATCTTGACCAACCATAGCCTGATACTGGACGGACAGGAGGGGTCGAGGGAGTGTTTATATGAGGAGGGGCGAGTGTTTGTCGATATAATGATAATGCTCGAAGGAGAGGATATTCGTTAGTCCATGTCAAATACCTATCGTCATCAACTATGACTTGTGATGCACAAACGGGCCCGACTCACATTAGACTGTATCTCAAAACAAGTCGTGGATCATCAACCAATTGAGGATCTTCGATAAACTCTTGGAATGATACTCTAGTTCGCAAGAACGCCGCTTCATCTTCCTCCTATCTGTCAATCGCAATCACAGTATAATGAACTTGAACTCACCGAAGCTTTTCCACCAGGAGCAAATCCTTCATGTCCACATAATGCTAATTCGAACGTATACGTACGAGAATCTTCCAATTCAAGAACAAACACATAAGGACTATCCTCGACATTCTTCAATCGCACAGACGGAGCCCATGGTGGTTGGACCGGTGAATCCATATTCTCTGGTGGAAGACTTTGCGCTCTTTCCAAGGCGGGCGGTTCCAGATTATCAACTTCCTCAACATCATCTGGTGGTTTATGACCTGCTGGCAGACGTCCAGCAGGCAGCCTACCCCAATCCCAAGCGAGATCCATGGTAGCGTGTGGGATAGGTAAAGACGGAGGAAAGATAGTCCCACTGGGTGAACGAGACAATGGGAGTGATGAAGGTGAAGTAGGTTCTATATCTGGTGGTGGTTCGGAAGTGTGACGTTCACGACGAGATCGATCCTCAAGTGACATATGCGTCATATTTGACAACAAAGCCTGGGTTTCATTCAAATCGGGGTCGGTGGATCTTGGAAGCATGTGAGGTCTAGGAAGAACGGCACCGAGAAGATTACGAGTGAGCGAATCGACGAGAGAATTTCGTAATGATGGAGCCATAGAATGTTTTGGATTCTCACTCATATTCTGTCCTTGATGTAACAGTGCGGATTTGGAGGTTCGTTCGGTGGGAGTAGTGACGTCTTCATTAGCACGAGAGCTATGATATCCCGCCATATCAAGAATGACATCTTTCCCATATACCACGGTAGGACCTTCTCCTTCTCCAGGTTTGACTTTTGGAAGTCCATCTTCATTTGGATTTGGTGATAAATACATGTCGGAAAGTTTATGATCTCGAAATGGCATATGAGTTTTCTCCCCCGGCTGGGCTGCCATTGGATTTGGGGGAACTTGCTGATCGTCGGTCCCAGACAGAGCATGGCCATTCTCATCGACTTCATTCTCTCGCTCCAATTTTCTCTTGTCTTCATCGTATAGCTGACCCTCGGAAGATATATCATTGGTGATGTGAGGTTTATGACGTAATTCAACATCCATAGGAGATGTATCACTTGAAACTGAGGTGGAATGGGATTTGAGTCGAGGTTCGAAGCCGAAACTACTGGCAGAATCCGTTATGGACACAGATGACAATGGTCGACCTGTCGATGGGGTATTTGGATGATGATTAGGAGAGTGATTTGGTGGATGGAAATCATGATGTGTCGTAGCGTTCAAATCGAGGAATTCCACTTCTGACAAAGGTCTTTTTTGTATTTTCTGTCCTGCTTTGTCCGATTCTCCAAAAGGATGATGAGTAGGAGATTGTTCTTCACCTGCTCCTACTCCCTCCAATGACATCGGAGGTGACGGTAGTAAATTAGGAGACGTTTCGTCATCAGCCATGACCACAGGACTGGTGATGAGTTCCGGGGGGACTTCTTCCTCTGTTTCAAGAACAAAGAAAGCTTCACCTGTGTCACCTACTTTCATACTGAAAGGTGCGACATGAGGTGCTGGTAGATTATCAGGTAGTGTGATGGTCACTCTTTTCTCTCCAGCTCGTAAGACTTGAAGCTTGCCGAAACGAACATGAAAAGGGGAAGATGACATGGTGACCTCGCCATCGTCACCTACATGTCGAATGATGATGACGTCTATAGCACCGCTCAAGGTGGCGGGGTTGATCCCGGAGTCTGAATTATGAGCGATGGTATAAGAGCAGGAATGAGGAAGAGGTAGCTTACAATAGTTGTACGCCTTGGATAGGTATTGCATATTGAGCAAGTTTTCGATGAGGGGAATAAGGAGGAGGATTAGAGACAGTCGCTTCGAGGAGTGATATATGGTAGAGGTGCTGATACCATCACGTCTAGCTGCGACTGCGAGCCGGGGGGAGAGTAGAGTCAAAGGCGAGGCAGGCCGGGGGAAGCAAAGTGATGCCGGACTAGGAAACAAGAGGGGACTCGGGGATCCTTTGGGTATGAAATGTACACTCTCTGAACCTATCCCTCGAGTACAACGTACACCGTATAGTGTGTGGACGGTGTTACAGGTGGGGACAGTACTTAGAGGGTAGAGGTGATGGTGATACAAAGCATCTTGGTGGTCTTAGCCGCAGCACTGTGTGGAACGACGACGCAATCCCAAGTCGACTTTGGGGGAATGATCTCATTGGGGGCAAGATGGCATCACGTGATCACTTCTCTAATACTTGAATACTTCTTCAGATGTATATCCAAGTTCCTTCAATGCTCCAGTCACCTCTCCTTGCTTCATCCCATCTTTCGGTCCCGCAACAGCTTTGACCTGACCAGGTGGTCCACATACATACACCTTGACCTTGTCATCGCCTTTCGGGAACAGCTTTGAAATCATCGATGGGGTCACGAAGCCGGTCTCTCCTGGGTGTATGTTAGCCTCGGAACTTTCTTCCTCAACGGATAGTCTTCCAGAGCGACTCACCTTTCCAACCCCATGGACTCTTATCTAGTACATATTTGACCTCGAGACGATCAGGATGTGACTTTGCCAGTTGATCCCATTCCTTGCGCAGTACTGACATTAGTATGAGACATGACATTGGCAGATAGGAATACTCACAGATATCCTTCTCCTCTACGTTGCAGAATACCAAGGTCCATTTAGTCTTGTCCTCTGGTAATTTGAGAGAATGTGTGATCAACTGCCACATGGGAGTGATACCGCTACCTCCTGCGATGCATAATCCTCGATCAATCGAATTAGGCTCATATTTGAATTTCTGGATCGGGCCTTTGAATTGCAAGTTTTGACCAGGAGTGAGAGAAGCGATGTAAGGGGTGAGTTTCCCAGTCTAAACATCAATGACTTCATCGACACTATATATATCAGACACACCTTATATTCTTTGATCAGTAGTTTGATAGTTCCCTTGTCTTCCGAAGATGAGATCGCGGTATAAGGTCTGTTTACTTCAGCTTTATCATTATAATGGAATCACTAACTGACCTGATGACAGGATTGCCTTTGTCATCCTTGGGTTCATCTCCGTCCGGTTTGACAAGAACGACGTAGGCGACTTCTCCACCAGCAACCTTGTTCTCGCCAATGTCAAATGTGTATATTTTGGTGTTGTGATTGTACGGCTCGACTTGGGTCAATTTGAAGGGTACCCAGGAATCTCTATACAATGTCAGCTTTCAAAGAGTAAAGTGTAGAGCACTCACTTGATCAAAGCGGCAAGAGAGTTCTCCGATGAAGACGCTTTACGTTCCGCCTCTAGGCCCTCGGCTTTCGCCTTGACATCTTGTTTGAGAGCATCGATTTTGCCGAAAATCTCAGGATTGCGCTGCAGATAGACATAACCACCGAGACCGAGCTGACATTTGGTCAGATTCTACTGCCAGTTGAGAGAATAGTACTGACCAAGCCTGCTGCACCAAGGATCAAAGGAAGGTCTGGAAGGCATGAGCTCGCAAGCCATTACCGCACGAAAACTACTCACTCGACCCTCCGCCGGAAGAAGCCGATGCATAGGTGCGACCGAGTGGATTTGCGCTCTTCTCAAGCTTAGCACAAGCTTCGATACGGACTATTGGACACTCACAGACAGCGTAGAACGTAGGGGATTACGTAGACGAGTGGCTAGCATGGTAATAGCAAGGAGCAAGGAGAGGAGTGGAAAGTAGCTACGTCGGCAGCAAGAGGAGGGGGTTGGTTTGTAGGAAAGGTGGAGGGGATCTTAAAGGGGGGGGATCGATCAAAGCTTCACTCACTCACCAAGCCCGCCCATCCTTTGCCTTCTCCTCACTGTCCCTCAAGTACTTACCATTCAACACTGCTTGCTCATGCTGTTTTCATATCCATCATCAGCGTGATATTGACCACCCTGCTCCGATACTAAGTATGGCTCCTGGTGAGTTGTCTCTCATCAACCACAAACTCATCGCTCATCACTCAGTATCACCAAATTCCTCTGCCTCTATCATCTCTCCACGACTCTCCCCCAATCGGAATCTCAACCCCTTCGCACCTCTATCACCCGACCAAGGACAAGATGCGATATCCACTTCAAACGAGGATGAAGATGAAGACGAAGGTATAGTCGCATTAGGATTTCAGCGTCCCACACGGCCTTTGATCCATTACAATCGTCCGACTCTACTGCGCATCGCTCTCACTTGTCGGGCAAAGGGTTGGCAACGTCCCCTCACTCTCAAACCTCTGGAGAGCTGGTATGGGTCAGTAATTGACATTGTCAAATCTATCAGTCACTGATGGGTCAGAACTGTACCTAACACTAACACCGGTCGCTCTTCAGCTTTAGAAGATCCTGCTATAGCATCTGTGGGGTTCTCAGCAGGTCCCAGTCATCGGAAACCCGCCGGAGGGTTTGGTGAGGGGTTCGGTTTCGGTGGTGGGATAGGCGGTGCTCGACAATTTGGACGGGGTGGGAGAAATGTTGGGTAAGTTAATTATGATTGATTGATCGTTTGGAAGTGGTACTGATCAGATAGACTTCGAAGAGAAGCAGGTCTTGATACCAATGGTCTTCCTCTGCCTCCCAATAGGAAAGAAGGTTTTAGTAGTCAGACGAGTAGAAATATGTCACAACAACATAATGAAAGACTGACAAGAGGAGATGAAGTGTGTAGTCCGTTGTTGCCCCACTTTCCCAGGTTGACATATAGCACAAAATCACCAAGAGAGAAGACATTGATTGGCGTAAAGGTTGGTTTGTCTTTCGTCATTTTCATTCTCAGTCTAATCGCCCCAAAATTCGGTATCAAAATGTTGATAAGAAGGTATAACTCGATACGAACCTATACAGATACGTGATGAAGAACGAGAACCCGCATGGATGGACGATGGACCTTCTTCACCCAATGACGACTTGACTTTTGGCGGTACGAATTCAGACCAATTCTTACAATTCGTTCCTGGTGACGATCCTATCGCGGCGCATAAAAGAGCAATGAAAGCGAGATTGGGTGGAAATATAGTAGAGCAACCTTCATTCTTTAACGATACGACCCAGATCAATGCCGCTCCTTCAAAACCCAAATCATTTGTCGCTTCGAATTACCTTCGAGTGGATAAAAATACGGCAGAGGATGATGCTCAACCTTTGGAAGGTAACACTAGTCATCAAAGTCGATTTCAACGTCTTTTCGCAGCTGGTGGCAATCCTTCAAATACGGCAAATATTGTTCCTCAGATGCCTCCAAGCAATATGAATCATCCGAATTATCCTATCATGAACTCTATCAGTCCAGTCAATCCGGTCAACCCGAACATTCCTAATCATCCCAATATGAACTCCATCAGTCCAGTCAACCCAATCAACCCTCCTAACCAACCACCTCGTCATATCGAACCCCATACTCAAACACAACGTCCAGACGATCATGTTTCTCGACTCATGGGTCTTCTCAAAGTGAGCCTGATCATCCCTCATTAGATCTTCTTGACGTTCAAAAGCTGATAAGTTACAGCCCTCACAACCACCACCACCACCACCACCTCCTCCTCCTGGTCTTTCCGAATCTCCTTATCCACCCCCACATCAACCAGAATATCCTACTTACCCACAACATCAACAACAACAACAACCAAATTATCCATCAATGCCACGTCCAGAGATATCCGACCATATCCGATCTCAAGCGTTATTACATCAATTATACTCTAATCGACCTGATATACCTCCAACACCAGATCAATTACATCTTTTATCACGGTCAGGTGTTGGTCGTCCGATGGGTATGCACATGTCTATGCCTCCTATGCCTCCTCCACAAATGTATAACGCTCATGCTCTTAGAGAAGAGCAATATCCTCCTCACATGTTCCCTCCTGGTTATCCTCAAGTACCACAAGGACCACCACAACAACTTCCACCAAACATGCCAGGTCCCATGGGTCCGTTCGGTTATCCTTCACCTTCGACAATGGGACCACGTCCTCCACCTGGTTATAACCCTAATCAATCACAATTGGGAGCGGCGCAACAGGAAATGTTAGCCACTTTATTTTCAGGATTACGACCTAATTGAGAAAGACATGCATCTCGTCTGGGTTTATGCGTTCTCTCTTTTGTTCACACTCCATTCAATACTGTGTGCATCGTGCTTATGATATCGACCACCTGCGTTTCCTCACGTCCAGTTCCTCTCTGGGCGGCTCAAGACCTTATATGGAATATACCAGTAGCTACCTATGTCACTAAGGCAAATCATCCTTCAACGATATTCCCTCTTTCAAGCTTCTTCTTTCAATCGCCCAGTTCTCCTACCTCAGACTTCGTCCGACCTATCTATCCAGAAAATTGAGCTGATAGACCGAGTAAGTACCTGTTTCACATTTCATATATGATTCATACTTAACCTTGCCCTGTATATCTCTTCTTTCTCCACAAACTCCACATATCCGCCCAAACATCCTTCTCACCCTGTCCATTTTCCCCTAAACCAAAAGGTATCCCAACTCCTTGTCCTTCTTTACCTCTACCATCACCCCTACCTCCAACTACGGTCAAAGAACATAGGGCCAATATACCAGGTTCCAAAGCTTTTCTACTTTCCCCTGGAATTCCTCCTCTGGTTACTGCCCTAACGTAGGTGACCAAAATACTCGGGACATGTTTAGCGAAAGTGGTAGAAATGGAATTCGACGAGTTGGATTGGTCGGACATTTTAATGAGAAAACGACTCAGACGTCGATGGATGGATAGAGGATGTGATGGTAGGAAAGAGGATATGAGAGTTTGGAGGATGGAAAAGAAAGGGGGTATAAGGGATTTGATAGATGGATGAGACAAGAGTGAATCGAGGAGTTCTATTATGTTTTCTAGTATGTCCGAGGATATGGACGAGGAAGTAGGGACTGAAATGGAGGAAAGAGGAGAAGTAGAGATAGTGAGGGTTGAGGGTGAAGAGAAAGTAGAAAGAAGGATAATGGGGATATGACAGATCGTAGTTAAATCCGAAGTTGATAAATGGATATGCTGATATCAATTTAGAACAAATTATCCACTTGTGAAATACAGGACAAACTCACTTTAGTCTTGACTAGATCAACGAGGAATTCTAGTGTTTCGACTCCTATGTCTGAGGAGAGAGAAGAGGATAAAGTGGTCAGAAGAGAGGGTAAAATAGTCACCACCTCGTTTGGAGAATCTGTTAATCAGTATCGATCTGCCCGTTTGGAGGAAGAAGTAAGGGTGAGCACTCACGTTGCAAAGAATGTCGTAAAATGGGCAAAAGCAAAGATTTGTCATATTGAATTCGCACTGCGACGTCGTCTTTTCCAGAAAGATGGAATTGGGGCAACTCGAATAACATGGTATATGCCCGACGTCTCTCTTCTGGGCTCTGGATGTTCTTGACACGAATCAAGATTTCAGTCGTTGTGACTGGTAGAGAAGGGGGTTCTGTTGATTAGACTAAGATTGTGCAAATATGATGTTAGGCTCACCGAGGTTGAGTTGGTCGTGAAGACTGCACATGACCGTCCAGCAACGTAAGATTTCGCTGATGTCCAGCAAAGAATTTTGAAAGGCCCAAACAACCATTGAAGAAGCTTTATGGATCAAACGTGCTAACGCCGTATCGATCGAAACACTGATTATGAGCTCGGTGAAATGCGAAAAGCGAAAAAGTGGAAACGAACGAGTTTTTCTGGTTGTGAGATATGACATTGACAAAGGTGGTCACCATCACCAGATCCAATGACTTCACTTCTCTGCGCTCGTCAAAGATTTCATCCAATCGTTCGAGGTTTCCTTTGCACACGCATCTGACATCAGCAGGGAAAATCATGAGAGATTATAAACTCACTCGAAACTGACTCTCATGATTTGTCTCAAGGCCTCGTTCGGTAGGTTTGACGCCGACGTGCGGATATAGTGCAGTAGTATTATAGCTTGATCCTTTCTATCAGCTAAGACTTTGTTTCGGTTGGAGCCAATTTGTGGGTTGTCAAGCGTGTGAACTCACCTCAGATAGTCTCAACTTCTGAGCCTTTGCCAACTGAGCAAGCAATGACAAAACACATCTCTCCAACACCTCACTCATGTCTCCCACTTGCAACACAGGGACGGCCTTGGAAATAAGATCTGCGATTTCGTTCCTCGGCAAGGATCTGACTAATGCCGAGTGAGCCAAGATTATCAAACCTGTATCGAGGTGAGATTCCTCCTTTACTGCTTTGACACTGCACAGAACAAGTGCTCCTATCCGTTAGTGTCTGAGGTTATACATGGCTTTGGTACGTACTGCTGAGATTTGGGAGATCCCAAATCTCCGCTCCTTGCAGTAATCTGTTGATGAGATTTCCAGTATGGTTATTCTCCGCTTTATAGGAGCTAGAAACGGTGGTCAAAATTGTCGTGGCCCAAACATCAAGTTGTGACTTCGGACTGGTCAATCTGATGTCAGCGGGAGTGACATGCCTTGATTTGCAGCTCACTCGATAAGTCTCGCACCGCCTTTCAGCAACATTTCCCAGATTTCGCCTGTGAAGTTTGAACCCTCTGGAGTCCAGGTTGACAAGAGGCGAAGACATTGATCCAGAAATACAGTCACCAGAGGAGTTTCGCCAGCGTCTTGATCCACATTACGAAATCGAGCAACCATATATCCGAGCTATCAACGTCAGTGATACGTCCGACATGTGGAGCTACGAGATGGAACTCACGGCGGCTTTGAGAGTCTCACAGGAAGCGGAGGTGTTGATGAATCCTATGACAGTATCAACGCCCAGAGATGGTTTAACAAATGTATATAGCGTGTGTATCCGTGATATTCGGAGGTACGCAGCCATGAGGATATTATACCATTCATCTCTTGAATCATCACTCGACTGGGATTGTTTTGTGGGCTTTCTCTTCTTCTTGTTGATCTCCCGGATCTCCGTCGCGATGACCGTTACTTTATCCCACACGTCAACGATAAGAGAAGAATCCGATGACCGATCTCTCGACCGACTCAATTCAGCAGCCAAGATGAACTCTTGTAGTCGACTGATAAGAGCTATCTTCGCCGTTGGGACCGGTGTGAAGAACGATTCTTGGTGTTTGCGTTTTTTACCAGATGTCCCAGTGTCCAGGTTAGTGGATTTATCGGAGGTGGAGGATACTTCGATCCAAGCTCTGGTGAGATCGCAAGAGGACCGAACCAATCTCCTCCAGACTTCACTCCCGGTTCGTAGATGTGGTGCTTTCAGAGCTTCTTCCATGTCGCCCAAGAAGCGGGGATCTACGAAAGGACCAGAAAGTATCAAGTCATATAATCTACGCGTGTCGACGTCATTGGTTGATCCATCGAATATGTTTACTAGCGCTTGGGACATGAGGTCGACGAAGGTATCGAGGGAAGAAGTGAGACGATGATATCGTAATAAGGCTTGGAGACATGCTACGGAGGTTTGAGATTTTACCTGCCCATCAATGATGTTCATGTGACACCTGTCATGAGAATACTCACCATAAAACAACTTCCCACCGCTCCCACTCGTAGATGAGCCCCTTTATGATCCAATCGTTCCAGCCTGGATAAGACGGCAAGAACATGCTCCAAGTTCGGATTGCTGTCGCCGGTCTTCAACCTGACGCTCAACAAAGTCTCTTGGGCCTGCTGACTATCATTCTGAAGAATATCACGCCAAGACGAATTAATTTCAGAATAACAGCCTTCTTCCTCTACCACCTCCCACAATCTATCTTTATACATCCAATGATCTGCTGCGGAATGATCGGTGTTCAGGTTGTCCAGGGATGATCGGACGACCACGACAGCCGAGAGGATACTGTCGGCCGCTTTGTCAGAGACGAATCGTTCAAAAGTCACTTTGCTGGAAGATGGCTGAGTGTACAGTTCTTGTCGATCTTTCCAGGCAGTATGAATGAATATTTTAAGAAGATAAATCGAGAAATTGACGATTGCTGCCTGAGTCGAGGGGTTGGCAGCCTTCCGTAAATCCTCCAAAAGCGATTGAAGTGCGCGTTTATCGTTGAATGTCGATGGAGGGAGGAAGACGTCTTGAATGATGTCTAGTGGGAGTTGTAGAGAGCTCAATCGGTCTATAGATAAGGCATGTGAGAGTGATAAAGATACAGAGAGCTGACATCAGAACCTTTCCCCTCAGAGTTCATAGAAGAACAGGGCTTACGGGTAGCGCTCTAGGACGAGTGTGAAGAGCGGTCTTGAGTCCAGGAATAATCTTAACCCCTAACTCTCTCATTCGACTTTTGACCTCTATATCCTCCTTAGGATGACTTAAGATGAGGTGTAAGAAGCTCGACCAGATGTCTAACCAAGCGTCGAGTTGATAACGCGGTTCGTCCACGTCGGGCAAGATCAAAAGTAGCGTAGCGATGATTTCTTTCAAAGTAGTTTCGTTCTTTTCCTCTGCATCTTGGATTCGTAAAAGATGCAAAATGAGGTTGAGAGGAGGTACGATAGGTCTGGGACATGCTTTCCAAATTTGACGAAAGAGTTGATGATAATTAATATCTCTTGCGGTCCTGACTGTCAGATGGAGTGCCCACATTGGGGGTCGGTGAAGACGAGGAGAACATGTGGACTGATGGCAGGGCTCAGAGATTCCAACGTATACTCACACATCTTTAGGACGTAACCAAGTCTCTATGATCCAATCCCGGATTAACTCAGCTTTCCGAGGTACATGAAAGTTGGGATTTGACCAAGCTTCCCGAGCGAGGTCGATTTTGTAGGGAGTTTGAGGGGCTGGGGGGTCGGATGGGGCCTTGAGAGATTTGATAAGAGCTGCGCTTGTAGATATATGTGATGATTCATTAGTGCCCACCATTTCTGCCTGGGGTGTGGAGAGAGTGAAATGCTGGAGAACAGTGAGGGAGACGAAATTTGAAGTTGTGGGTGAATAGATAAAGGGGGCCCCGCACTCATGCCGGGTGGCAATTCATCACACAGACAGTGCAATGGCATGCGTAATGGTAAGGTGGTCGACATGGTGAACAGAAGCAGTCAATGTGATGTCAGAAGTCTCAACCCAAGACATCGGAGTTCAAGACTAGAAGAGGAAGTTACAGCTCTAGACATGTTCGGATGTGCGGCAAGGCATGCCGCACCGCGCACGCGCACCGTACATCCAACATCCGACGGTACTCGTCGTAGGCGAGTAAATTTAAAATCACGGATGAGCTCATCATGATACCCAAGCCCCCTGACAGCACCTCACTGAAGGTAGCCCGAACGTTATCGGCTTGACCAGATGAATACAGAAGAAGCACACTACATCCCACGAGATAACAACAAGATCTCTACCAGACTCACGCCAAAGGCCGACTTCGCCTGTTAGTCATCTGACTATCACTCGACGTGATTGAATCAGATCTTATCTATTTGATTAGTCACTAGTCCCCTTTCCAATGAGTCGACTCACAGCCCGCCTGACATTTTCCGGAGGAGGTACAAAACCCTCCTTCTGCGCTCGAAGCGTCCTCAATTCTTGTTCCACTCGGTCGACCTGCCGCTTCATCTCGATCACCCCTGCAGCAGCATTGAACACCGCTTCCAACATTTCGATATTTGTCCGAGTGGGCATGACTAGTTTCTGAGTGCTAACCCCCAGCTCTGTGAGGATTTCGGTGATGCGTATGGTAGCGTTGGCCTTGGGAACGGGTAGTTTCGTAGAGCGTAGAAAGACGGGATTATGAGTGGCATGTTTCGTCGCTGAAGGTGTTGATCCCGGGTTTGATTCCGGGTTGGACACGCGATAGATACATCGAACACCATCTTCTGGTCAGCTCGGGAAGACACGAACAATAAAGCCGAGTGTATGTACCGTGAGCCGTCGCTTTGGACTTTTTCCCATCCTGATTCACGGAATCTTCTCCGCCTTCTGCTCCTTCCGGACGTCTTTTCCGCTTCTGACGACATCAGTACGGGCAGTCACCTTATGAGAGGAACGACTGACTCTATCGAATGGAAGACCACCATCTGCAGTCTCATGGTCCACATTGACCAGACCACTCTCCACGCCGATGATGGAACGAAGCAATTGGTCCCGATCCGACCGATAACGTTTCTGAACTTGTTCCATCCGTTTCACTTCGACATAAAGCGCTTCTTCTTCCGCGATTTCTCTCGCTGTGAGGTGGAATAACTCCGAAGCATATTGTTTCCGTCTGATCTCCCGAGCTGCACAGTCAGCTATGTCAGGACTATGCTACCATGTTGGAGACGTACACTTGTCAAACGAATACGTTTCCAGTTGCTGCTGTTGGGATCTCAAATCTGTGGCAGTCCGACTTCTCACCAATCGTCTACAGATGGAGTAATACCTTTCTTTGATATCCTGTCCCGATCAACCAGTCCTGTGTCTATCGATGCACGTGGACTCACCTCAATACTACGCTTTGCAGGAGACCCATCGTCTTTCGATCCTGAATACTCATACCGGTCCGCTATCACCACGAAACGGAGATCATACGCGCGTAAAAGATCAAACAGATACGCCGTCTCGTGTGGGGTCCAAGAGGGGTCGGAAAGGAATTGATCGTACTCGTATTGACTATACTCCATGACTGATGGTCCGGAATGATTGAATTGACCAAAATAAGATACTGAGATCCGTCAGCCATTCACCCTTTTCGCGGAATGGATGACGCACCGACAGGATCATCTTGAACGTCGGCTTTAATCCAATGTTTTAACCTCAATGATGGTTCCCTTGATGCTGGAGTGAAAGTCGCCTGTTGCCTGACCGTATCAGAGTACATCTGCTAATCAAGAGAGGAGTATCGTACCATTTGCTGACCACTGTGTTGGCCTTTGGACGATTGCGGTATTTGACGGCTGCGAGTGAAGCTTGAGCTTCGGCGAGAGAGGGAGCGTTGTCCCCTATCAGCGCGTAGAGCTCACGGGATAAACCCTCAGGCTTTTTGAAAGCGTTTATAGGTTTTCTAGCGGCAACATGAGGGGCATCCCTCGATTGGGAGAGGTTGAGGATGGAGCGTACGTCTTGAGATGTCATGGTGGGTTAGGTACTTGCAGGCAAGAAGTTCAGCGAGATCAGCGATCCAGTAGATTAGAGGGAGAGAGGAAAACGACCGTGGGAAAGCGAATGGGTTATGGCAGGTGGCACTGTGGCGGAATTCCATGCAGCTCGCTGCCTATGATACTTGTTCGCAAAGGAGTCGCAACGCCCACAATGTGGCACCCGCGCACGGCATGCCACCGGTGGGGGTTGTATTTGTATCTCTCCCTGCTGATACAAGCGTAGCATCCAGCATGAGGGATGCATAGCATGCACCACATCACTCAACACTGAACTCAGAAGCGTGTCTGCAGCCCCTGTGCCGTTTGGAGGGCATTTCACCGTTCCCCCATTCCCTCTATCAAACAATTGACTCTTTCGATTGGGATTGCTTCCCAGATCCGCTGCATCTCCGTGAACGCCTATCATCAGTGAGAGCTCCGTTTGGCATGTGGACAAGCTCACCTCATCCGCAGTAGTAGGTTGCCGGACTAATTTATCCAGTTCTCATTTCATGTCGGCCCAGAGAGATTCAATTGGATTGAGATCAGGTGAATAGGGGGGATGAGGAAGACAACACATGTTTAGCTCCGCTTCGGCTTTGCGTGTGATTCCAGCCTTATGAGCAGGGTGTCCATCGACCATAATAAGCACCTCTGAATGGCCTTCAGACTGAAGTTCTGTTACATGTGCATGAAGCAATGGTCAAACGATGAGGTTGATGTACTTGACAGCATTGAGTCCGACCGTCTTGATCTGGTTGTTTGGAAGGCGGATCTTCTCGATGGGAATGCAAAAGAGGGGCCATTTATGATTGTAGGCAATAGCACCCCATACAGGGATAGTTATACAGGTAGAATGGAAGTTGGCTTTGAAATGGGTGGGCTTGTATTCATCATGTGGTCGACTGTTACGACTGAGAGCTAGGCAGTGACCAGACCCAACTTCAGTGGACGACAGCGACGGATGACATGATAGCGTAGAGTGGATTGGACGATGATGACAAGCACCTTAGTGGTGAACACGTTATGGTGTAAGTCACTAAGACAACAAGGGATGAGTAGAGTGAGTGGCAAAGTTTTATGAGAGTAACTTATGAGAATTCATCGACAGAGGGAAAAGAGTGAATTCAGCGCTCTTATATAGACCTCTGTTTCTACCGAACTACAAACTAAACCGGCTACCTCCACCTTGCTGAATCATCAATGACGTCATGATTGATAAGCATCTGAGTAAGCAGCTTATCAAGCAATGATGTCATTGCTGATCAAGCAGCTGAGTAAGCACTACTAATCCTCATGCTGAATCAGCAATGACCAATCCCTTGCTGAATAAGCATTGACCAATCCTCACCGAGTCTCTTAATGTCCTGATCTCTATCTAACTCTGATAAGCTTCATTCTCTTATTACACATCATGCTCCTTGTCATGCTCTACAATACCGATCATACCTCCTTTTATGCAGTGTCATAACATCGACGGATTGTCCACTGTCGTCCATGTTTCTTTGATCCCACCTCCACAGTACATTCATCTGTCCAGACAACCCGCCGGCCAGTTCTGTCCAATGTTTGACTCAGCCCACTCCTTCCTTCCCGCTATTGCATGTTCAGGTAACCAGGGCTTCAACCTCTTGACTCGTTTGTGGAGATCCTCCTCATCCTCCATATGACGCTTCACAGTAGACCCACTCACTCGTTTCCCCTCCTCATCCAGATCCCTCCCATACTCCGACCAGGGCTGATTTGGCTCCTTGTCAATCCTCCCCAGGATTGTGCGTTTGTCTTCAGGTTGAAGCTTTGAGGGACGGCCTGATTTTGGCTCGGGAGGTGTCACGGCCGTCGAATAACTTCTTCCTGATAGACCGACGGTTGACGAACCTCGGCTAACTTGATGCTTCTGACTCGATGTCTCACCCAACCAGGAGGGCGCAGACGTCGAAAGGGATGTAACTACAACGTACTTTGGCGTAGTTACTCTATCTAAGGGTTTTTACTGATGGCAATGTATCTCGATTTATATTGTAGCTATCTCTATCAATCTTTCACTACTGACAACAATCAAGGATCGCTGAAGAACTTCAGCGATCTTCTCAACTGATATTATCTACTCCTCTTAGATGTTCACCCAACCCTCTTGCGCTTTGACGTACTTCAACGTACTTTGTCCAACTTCTCCGAGTCCCCGGTCATACTTCTCCCCCCCTTCAACTAACGTCCGTCCCCTACCATCGGGTCAAACCCCCCTTCGGGTCAGCAAAATTTTTGTATCGCTTTTGATCGTGATCGATGCATTTCTTCTTCTCTGCCTGTTCACTCGTCTATCATGCAGGCCACTCAATCAAACTTAGAACTAGCCATAGATGCCTATCATATACAGTTACTCCGACCTAAGAAAGATCAACACTCTATCCGCCAAATTGCTGCCGAATTCTCTGTCCCTCGTTCCACCCTTACCGCTCGTGTACTACACAATCAACGTGACCGACAAACTGCTGCTGCACCCCTTCAAGCCCTCACCCCTACAGAAGAAGACTGTCTTGTTGACTATATCAAGCACAACACACTTCTTGGTCAATCTCCCACTGCCACTCTTGTTCTTGAGGTTGCTGAAGAACTTCGCCGGAACCGTCCTCTCATATCTTCCTCCTCCGTCCCACTGCCCTCTCTTGGTCGCAACTGGATCGCAAAGTTCAAGAGTCGTCACCCTACAGTCAGCAGCACTTGGACACGTCAAATGGAAAGAGCTCGCTTTGTGGGAACCGGAACTGATCGGATGATCCCATGGTTTGCCGAAGTAGGATCATTGATGGAGAAGAACCACTATAAACCATCAAACATCTTCAATATGGATGAGACCGGGTTTGGTATTGGAACTACACAAGCATCACGAGTGCTTGCAGTCTTTGAAGGAGATGGAATACGAGGAAAAGCGTGGAAAACAAGTCCTGGACGTCAGGAATGGGTTACAATAATTGAGTGTATCTCGGCGGATGGGGAAGCGCTTCCTCCAATGGTGATCTTCAAGGGGAAGTCCGGATTCTGCTCAAATTGGCTCCCCACTCTTCCTGATAGTCGTGTTGATGGATGGCATTGGTCCTATAGTAATAAGGGCTGGTCAAACAATACTCTAGGATACGAATGGCTCAAGGATGTCTTCATTCCCACAACCTCCCCTTCAACCACATCATCAACACCCAACAAACCTTCCGACCGTCGCTTACTCATCCTTGATGGTCATGGAAGTCACGTACAAGCATGTGTCATTGCGCTCTGCATGCAACACAACATCGACCTCGTAGTCCTTCCCTCACACTCCTCTCAAGACACACAACCTCTTGACATTGCGGTATTTGCACCCTATAAAAAAGTTCTTCGAGATGAGTCCGATAAATGGGCAAGACGTACTACTTCAAATATTCCAAAAGGTTCATGGGCGGACTCCCTCATCTTAGCTCGAACCACTGCTATGACCTCACGTAATATCAAATCCGGATTTCGAGAAAGTGGTCTATGGCCCTTCTGTCCTGCACACGCTTTCCCTGACATGTTTTCCTCGCTTTCAAACTGCCCTGTCACCCCACCTCGTGCAATATGTCGGACCCCTCTTACCTCAGTTTCCGACCGTAGTTCAGAATTTATGCGACAACATGTGACAATCTTACGGACTCCAATCAAAAATCATGTCGCAGAATTGCTCAAGGAATGTTTAGAAGGAGAAGTTGCTAAAGCTCGGGTTGTGGTACTGGAGAGGGAGATCAGGGAATTGAGAGAAGGGCAGGAATTGGGGAAGCGGAAAAGAGCAGGACCGACAGTTCAGAACTTAAAGACACATCATTTCACTACCCAAGAAGTATTGGAGGCTGTCCAAGCAATTGAAGCGGAGAGGGATGCGAAGAAGAAGAAGAGGAAGAAGGGGAAGAGTAAAGTACCTTCTGGGGGTACCGGAGACGCTGGCGGATGTGCAGAGGTTGAAGAGAATCGAGACGATGAGGACAATGAGGAAACTGAGGAGGAGAATCCTTTTCTTACGAGTGTCTAGGTGAGGGTATGCATCCACATAATAACTATGATTTCAATCGATCGATGGGTTGACCCGAAGGGGGGTTTGACCCGATGGTAGGGGACGGACGTTAACTCCGCCTAACATCGCCACACTTCTGCTCCCATTGTCCCTACCTAGCCTAACTCCGTGAAACTTCGCCGTACTTCGGCTTCCATTGTCCCTACTTAGCCTAACTCCGTCTAACTTCGCCGTACTTCGGATCCCATTGTCCCTACTTAGCCTAACTCCGTCTAGCTTCGACGTACTTTGGATCCCATTGTCCCTACTTAGCCTAACTCCGTCTAACTTTGCCGCACTTCGCCGTCCTTATGCTCCAGACCCTTGTATACCTTATTCTCCCGTTGTACTTTGCCGTAGTTGGTCTCAGATGTCCTAGGTTACGTGTAGGATGAAGAGGATAAGACGTAATAGGGGTTTTGATGGTCAAAGGAGGGTTGTTGATGGTGGGATATTTGAGGTGTCACGACGTAGTTCGTGACAGTCAACAGCACCGTCTGGTGCTTGCCTGGTTTGACGTGCAGCTTGCTGAACCAAACAGTTATCCGAGATGTAGACCTGAAGGAAGCGAGGTTTGGATCCCTCATTTCCCTCATTAGGCAAAAGTGGACCGATTCGATGACACAGTTGTCCTTGGATCCTGAAGAGAGGGACGCCGGGTGTGTGCATGATGGGATCCTTATGTACTCCTGTGGACATGAAGGCAAGGGCATTGTTGTAGGAGCGTATGTTTGTACGAAAGTGCCGTGCAAGCCGTGCATCTGAGAAACCGTCAGCCCTATCCTCTACCTGATGTGTCACGGCCGTCAAATAACTTGTTTCCAATAGACCGACGGTCGACGAACCTCGGCTAACTTGGTGGTTCTAACTCGATGTATCACCCAACCAGGAGGGCGTAGACGTCGAAAGAAGTGTAACTACGGCGAGCTTTGGCGTAGTTACTCTATCTGGGGTTTTTCTCTGATGGCGATGTATCTCGTTTGCATGGTAGCTATCTCTATCAATCTTTCACTACTGACAACAATCAAGGATCGCTGAAGAACTTCAGCGATCTTCTCAGCTAATAGTATCCACCACTCCTAGATGTTCATCCAACCCATCCGCGCTTCGACGCACTTCGGCCAACTTCCCCGAACCACCGAACACCCGATCCTCTAACCTCGTCTAACTTCGCCGTGCCTCTGCTTCCTCCATCCCTAGTCAACCCAACTTCGCCTAACCTCGTCGTACCTCGGTTCCCTTCACCCTTAACCTGTCTAACTTCGCCTAACTTTGTCGTGGTTGGTCTAAGATGTCCTAGGATACGTGTAAACCAAAGAGGTCGAGAATTGATGGAGGTTTGATGGTCAAAGGAGGGTCGTTGTTGGTGGGATTTAGGGGTGTCACGACGTAGTTCGTGACAGTCGCCCCCTCCTTAGCAGCGAACGTCCTTGTGAGCACATTGTTCATATTTGGTGGGAGAAGAACTCAGCAGCAGTGAGCACTCTCTTCCGCCACAACACGTCGAGCTTGATCGCGTAGGCATGTATAACCTCCCCTAACTTCATTGATGCCTTTCGACCTGTCCAGGGTCGATTCGTTGGACGTGAGACACCGAGTACAAGGTTCCCCAAAAGTCATCGATGATTGTCAGCAATTCCCTAGCATTTATGAATGTGAGACACGTAGCGTGGGAACTTTTGATCGTCGTGACGATGTTTATTGTTGTCGTGACAACATGTTATCCGAGGTTACCCGTTCCCTGATGACGAGGGAGTTCAGCGATTATACTAAGTACCTAGCCCTTCGGCGCTGTTCGTCTTTCTTCCCCAGTACTCTTCTAAAATTGTACTTCTACTACTTCACCCCACTAACGTATTTCTTTACCACAACTTCTTAAACTCTTCACAAAATGGCTTCTGACCGAGACCTAAACATCCGTAAGGTCTTTGAGGAGACTCTCCGTAGTACCCGTGAGTTCTACTCTTGACCCATACCTTCCCCTTAATCGTCGACGGTAGCTGACGTTAGTCGCCCGCATGTCTGCCCCTTCTCCCCGCCAGGTTTCTTCCATCGGCCTCGGCTCCTTAACCATCACCGATGGCTCTGTTTCCCCAGCTGCAGCTGGTACGTCTCTCGGTGTGGTGCCAACGCCATCTTCGGTTCCCGCGTCCCTTGGCCAGCATGAGGCCCAACCCGCTCGTCCTGGCCCGTCACCTACATTGGGTCGAACCGCTAACGTTATTGAGATTGGTAGTGACAAAGATGAGGATATGGGGGAAGGTGAAAGGGTGGAAGGAGGTGAAAATATGCCGGAAGATGGCGGTTCCGAGGTGTCGGATACATCTTCGGTAGCAAAGATCCGGGCTATGAGTCGTACGTCCCAGCTTATACAAGTACCTATGTGTTAGCGCTGACGTTCACAGCCATCCGTATCGATGAAAAAGGTTCCCCCGAGATATATGTGCGTGGTCAGAGCTCCGACGGCTATGTGCGCGTGGCGTATTACAAGGAGCAAGCCCGAGTGAAGGCTGAGAAAGAGCTCAAACACGGCCGAACTTCGGATAATGTCGACGACGCCCCTCTTCCTTCGGCGAAAAAGGCCAAAGGTGCTCGTCCTTCGTCTTCGACCTCTGGCCAAGCTGGATCCCCTCGACTAGTGCGGGATGAAAATACGTTGTGGAACCTGTTCGCTGCTGAGCGTGACCGATGGGAAGTGTGTAGAGTGGAGGAATCGTGTGATCGTTGCCAGTATGTCTGTTCTAAATCCTATGGTGTACCTGCTAATCAATAGACGTGAGATCGTCACTTATGGGAGGAAAAGGTGGCCCTGTCTTCGCCCGGTCAAACCTCACAACCGCGGTTCTCGATGTGCTTCTTGCACCACCGGCCCCTGCTCCTTCTTTCCTGCCAATCCTGCTCGAGGATTCCCCCCTCGCTCCACCGACCACTCTCCCCTCCCCCCTCCTATCAATTGGGGGAGTCCCTCCTCAAATCCATTCGTGGTCCAGCCCACTCCGGCCACCCCGTCTCCCTCCATGCGGCGCCGCCTTCCCACCGCCAACCATGACGGCTTTCCTTCTCCCGTTCCTTCGGCAAACTTAGCCTCTTCTCGTCCTTCTCCTCCGACAGTCGGCTCATCCCGACCCCTGCCGGCCGATGAGGATATTGAACGTCTCACTCGTCCCCCGTCTCCTGCTGTCGCTGGCCCTTCTCGCCCGACACCCCGTCGCTCTCCTGGGTCTAGGCCCACTGCCACTTCTTCGGCTGGTCCGTCTCCTCCTGTCCAAAGCCGCCCTTCGCCGTCTCCTGCTCCGAGTTCACCCCCTGCTCATGGGACTCGCAGCCGCCAACCATCTCTTCCTCCTTCTTCAGGTCTCCCCAGTGCTCTCTCTTCCGTCAAAACCCCTTCGTCCAGGTCACCTAAAGGAAAAGGGAAAAAGAAAGCTGTATCCTTCGACCACGAAGTAGAGGGGACAGAGGAAAGTACTCAGCAATCAGAGGAGATTCCTTGTCACGAACTACGTCGTAACATCCCTGACAACCACCATCACCGACCCTCCTTTCACCATCACCGACCTTCCTTTCACCACTACCAACCTCCACTCGAACCACTGAGACCAACTACGGCTAAGTTACGAGAACCAAGAGGGGATTTGTCACGATAACCCCGCCTAGCGGGGAACTACGGCGAAGTTAGGGGAAGGGAACCGAGGGAGAGCAGAACAGGGGAAGTTAGGCGAAGTTAGTCAAAGTGAGCGGAGTAGGATATCGGGGATATGGCGAGGTACGGCGAAGTTGAACGAAGAGGACTGAGCGTGAGGCAGTGCAGGAGTTGAGGGACATTCTACGAGAAGAGAGGAGTAGTATAGATAGTTTACAGATCGCTGAACTTCTTCAGCGATCCTTGATTGTTGTCAGTAGCGAGAGATATATTCAGTAGCTACAACCTTCGAGTTAAGGAGAGCTACCACCGAGCAGTTCAACGTACTACAGCGAAGTTAGCCGCAGTTCATCGACGATCATCTTATCATTCACCACTCGACGTGTTACTACGGCGAAGTTAGCCGTAGTTCCTCGACGAGTACCCTGTCTTAGTGAGACATCGACGCCCCACTACGACGTAGTTAGCCGAGGTTTGTCGACCGTCGGTCAGTAGAGAAGAAGAAACGACAATTGTGACATTCCTCCATTGGTCCACCCCTTCATCTCTGAAGATCCTCGCATCCCTGATGAAGAGAAACAATTGGCTACCTTCCGTTCCACCATCATTGGTTTGACTACTGAGCTCCAAGCCAATAGGAAAGATACGTCCGCCCTCCTTGAATACAACATGAGACTCGTATCGACCCTTAACGCTCTGTCAACTTCCATAGCGACGGTGGTGAATTCATCCGATGTTGGTCCTTCCTCTCGCACTGAGTTAGCTAGGGTGTCTCGTGAACAGTTAACGTCGATGAACGACTTTCGTCGGACATTGTATGAAACACCCTTCGTCCTGAACCCCGTTGAATTTGAGCTTCCACCGACACTCGATTGGCTAAAAACGTCAAAGCCTTCTCGACTCAGCTCTCAGGATGCTGCCTTTCTCGATGTCCTAGTTCTCCGGCTCGAGTGTCTCCGTACTCTTCGGCAACTGTGGAAGTCTCCCAGCCTCACCGCTGCTCGTGATCCTTCACTTCACGCAGCTCACATTGGGGCTCTTAATGCTGCATGGAAGGAGGCTCGGGCAATACGACGCTTAGGACAGGCGAACCGGGGAAACAATTCGGGGGATAGGCAGGAGGTAAGAGACCAAGAGGAAAGAGGACAAGGTTCGGCGCAGTGAGTTGTACTTAGCTGATGTTGTACTCCGTTGTATGAACTACTGTCTCATCCGCGATCGAATTGCTCTTCCCTTCTTCGGCTTATTCGGGTGAAGTTCGTGGAACTTCGCCAATGCTTCGTCAGCGCCGTGTACATTCTCTGCTGGTTCCCATGAAACTGAGTCATCCGTTCCT